CCCCATTGTCCCTACATCCCCATTGCCCCCACTGTCCCTATACCCCCACTGTCCCCGTGTCCCCGTGGATGTCCCCGTGTCCCCGAGCTGTCCCCACATCCCCACTGTCCCCATGTCCCCATGTCCCCAAGCTGTCCCCACGGTTGTCCCCAAGCTGTCCCCATTGTCCCCCATATCCCCCGTGTCCCCACTGTCCCTATACCCCCACTGTCCCCACCTCCCCATGGTTGTCCTGGTGTCCCCAAGCTGTCCCCTGTGTCCCCATTGTCCCCATTGCCCCCATATCTCCAATGTCCCCACTGTCCCTACACCCCCGCTGTCCCCATGTCCCCAAGCTGTCCCCATGTCCCCAAGCTGTCCCCACGGTTGTCCCCAAGCTGTCCCCAGTGTCCCGTGTCCCCATGTCCCCAAGCTGTCCCCAGTCCCCACGGTTGTCCCCTGTGTCCCCATTGTCCCCATTGTCCCCATATCCCCATTGCCCCCACTGTCCCTATACCCTGGCTGTCCCCACGTCCCCACGGCTGTCCCCATGTCCCCAAGCTGTCCCCACTGTCCCCACTGTCCCTATACCCACGCTGTCCCCTGTGTCCCCATTGTCCCCATGTCCCCGAGCTGTCCCTGTGTCCCCAGTGTCCCTATATCCCCATTGCCCCCATATCCCCAGTGTCCCCACTGTCCCTATACCCCCACTGTCCCCATGTCCCCACGGCTGTCCCCATGTCCCCGAGCTGTTCCCACAGTTGTCCCCAAACTGTCCCCAGTGTCCCCAGTGTCCCCACGGTTGTCCACAAACTGTCCCCAGTGTCCCCGGTGCCCCCATGTCCCCACAGCTGTCCCCATATCCCCCATGTCCCCACTGTCCCTACACCCCCGCCATCCCCGTGTCCCCACAGTTGTCCCGGTGTCCCCATTGTCCCCATGTCCCCAAGCTGTCCTCAGTGTCCCCAGTGTCCCCATTGCCCCTATATCCCCATTGACCCCACTGTCCCTACACCCCCGCTGTCCCCACATCCCCATGGCTGTCCCCTGTCCCCGTGTCCCCACGGTGTCCCCAAGCTGTCCCAGTGTCCCCACGGCTGTCCCCACGGTTGTTCCCAAGCTGTCCTCGGTGTCCCCATTGTCCCCATTGCCCCTATATCCCCAATGTCCCCACTGTCCCTATATCCCTGCTGTCCCCACGTCCCCATGGCTGTCCCCATGTCCCCACGGTTGTCCCGGTGTCCCCAAGCTGTCCCCACGGTTGTCCCCAAGCTGTCCCCAATGTCCCCACTGTCCCCATACCGCTGCTGTCCCCATGTCCCCATGGCTATCCCCACCTCCCCATGGTTGTCCCCACGTCCCATAGCTGTCCCCACGGTTGTCCCCAGTGTCCCCACTGTCCCTATACCCCCATTGTCCCCATGTCCCCACAGCTGTCCCCATGTCCCCATGTCCCCTGTGTCCCCCGTGTCCCCAGTGTCCCTATACCCCCACTGTCCCCATGTCCCCAAGCTGTCCCCATGTCCCCAAGCTGTCCCCCGTGTCCCCACTGTCCCTATACCCCCACTGTCCCCACCTCCCCATGGTTGTCCTGGTGTCCCCAAGCTGTCCCCTGTGTCCCCATTGTCCCCATTGCACCTCTATCCCCATTGTCCCCATTGTCCCCATTGTCCCCTGTGTCCCCATTGTCCCCATTGTCCCCTGTGTCCCCATTGTCCCCATTGTCCTCATTGTCCCCATGTCCCCAAGCTGTCCCCATGTCCCCAAGCTGTCCCCACGGCTGTCCCCACGGTGTCCCCAAGCTGTCCCCTGTCCCCAAGCTGTCCCCAAGCTGTCCCCATGTCCCCAATCTGTCCCCACGAAGTCCCCAAGCTGTCCCCATGTCCCCAATCTGTCCCCACGAAGTCCCCAAGCTGTCCCCATGTCCCCAAGCTGTCCCCATGTCCCCAAGCTGTCCCCTGTCCCCGTGTCCCCAAGCTGTCCCCATGTCCCCGTGTCCCCACGGTGTCCCCACGCTGTCCCTGTCCCCAGCTTCTCGTACCTGATCGGGAAGGACACCTGGCTGGAGGAGTGGCCCTCGGAGGTCTCCTGCCAGGACCCGGCGCTGCAGAAGCTCTGCCAGGACTTCGCCGAGTTCTCCGAGTCCATGACGCTCTTCGGCTGTCCCAGCTGAGTCCCCAAGTGCCACCACCCACCCTCGGGTGTCACCCCCCTCCGGTGTCACCGCTCATTGTTGTCCCCTCCCCGCCCTTTCTGTTTTTTGGGGGTTTTTTTTTTTTTGGTTAAAAAATCGTTTCTGAGCAAAAGGTTTGGGGTGTCCTTGTGGGGGGGGGAACACCAGAGGGGACACCTGAGGGGACACCTGAGGGGACACCTGAGGGGACACCTGAGGGACATGGGGACACCACAGGGGTCATGGGGACACCAGAGGGGACACCTGAGGGACTTGGGGACATCACAGGGGACACCACAGGGGACATGGGGACATCAGAGGGACATGGGGACATGTGGGTGGAGTGGGGACACCACAGAGGACATGGGGACACCTGAGGGGACACCTGAGGGGACACCACAGGGGACACGGGGACACCAGAGGGGTCATGGGGACATCAGAGGGGACACAGGGACACCTCAAGGTCATGGGGACACCAGAGAGGACATGGGGACATCAGAGGGGACATGGGGACACCACAGGGGACATGGGGACACCAGAGGGGACATGGGGACACCAGAGAGACACGGGGACACCAGAGGGGTCACGGGGACATCAGAGGGACATGGGGACACCACAGGGGACATGGGGACACCAGAGGGGACATCAAGACACCAGAGGGACATGGGGACATCACAGGGGACATGGGGACATGTGGGGGGAGTGGGGACACCAGAGGGGTCATGGGGACACCTCAAGGTCATCTGGACACCTCAAGGTCATGGGGACACAAGAGGGGTCACAGGGAACCCAAACTCTGCGCCCCAAATCCCGCACCCCAAATTTCGCACCCCAAATCCTTCACCCCAAATCCTTCACCCCAAATCCTTCACCCTAAAATCTGCACCCCACTCCCACCACCCCAAATTCTGCACCCCAAATCCTGCACCCCAAATTCAGCACCCCAAATTCTGTACCTCAAACTCCACACCCCAAATCCTGCACCCCAAATTCTGCACCTCAAATCCAACACCCCAAATCCCGCACCCCAAATTCAGCATCCCAAATTTTGGGGTCTCTGGGGCAAATTTTGGGGTTCTGGGGCAAATTTAGGGGTTTTGGGGCAAATTTGGGGGTTTCTGGGGCAAATTTCGGCTTCTGGGCCAAATTTAGTGGGTTGGAGTAAATTTGGGGGGATCTGGGACAATTTGGGGGTTCTGGGGCAAATTTGGGGGGTCTGGGGCAAATTTGGGGTCTCCAGAGTAAATTTTGGGGGTTTTGGGGCAAATTTGGGGTCTCCAGGGTAAATTTGGGATAATGCGGGCAAATTTGGGGGTAATGGGGGCAAATTTGGGCTCGGTGGGGCAAATTTTGGGGTTTTGGGGGCGAATTTTAGGGTCTCCAGGGTAAATTTGGGGGGTCTGGAGTAAATTTGGGGGGATCTGGGACAATTTGGGGGTTCTGGGGCAAATTTTGGGGTTTTGGGGGCAAATTTGGGGCTTCTGGGGCAAATTTTGGGTCATGGGGGCAAATTTGGGGGTTCTGGGGCAAATTTGGGGGGGTCTGGGGCAAATTTGGGGGTCTCTGGGGCAAATTTGGGGTCTCCAGGGTAAATTTTGGGTCATGGGGGCAAATTTGGGGGTTCTGGGGCAAAATTTGGGGTTCTGGGGCAAATTTGGGGGTTCTGGGGGGTTAAGTTGGGGGGTCTGAAGTAAATTTGGGGGTTCTGGGTTAAATTTGGGAGGATCTGGGACAATTTGGGGGTTCTGGGGCAAATTTTGGGGTCTCTGGAGCAAATTTGGGGGTTCTGGGGCAAATTTGGGGTTTTTTGGGGCAAATTCTGGGGTTTTTGGGGCAAATTTTGGGGTTTCTGGGGTAAATTTTGAGTCATGGAAGCAAATTTGGCAGTAAAAATAATCCATAAATAAATTTATTCATTAATTAATAAATAATTAATTAAGGAGAGTAATTTAAGGAGGGGAGGGGCCACCACCCCGCCCCCAAAGTGTCCCCAAATGTCCCCAAGGAGGTCCCCAAGTGTCCAGCACTGGGTCCCCAAATGTCCCCAAGTGTCCCCAAATGTCCCCAAGTGTCCCCAAGTGTCCAGCACGGGGTCCAGGACGTCCCCAAATGTCCCCAAGCGCCAAATGGGGGAGGGGTCGGTGATGTCACTCGATGTCCCCAAATCTTTGGGTGTGGAGGTCACCAGTGTCACTTTGATGTCCCCAATCTCTGGACACCCAAATCTTTGGCCATGGACGTCACCGATGACACTTTGATGTCCCCCAAACCGCCACATTTGGGTGTCACCGATGTCACTCGATGTCCCCAAGCCCCACCCCGGCAGGTGACAAGCAGGACACGAGACTGGCCACCCCCTGTGTCACCCCTGTGCCACCAACCAGTGCCACCACCTGCTGCCACCACCTGCTGCCACCACCCAATGCCACCAACCAATGCCACCATCTGGTGCCACCACGCAATGCCACCATCTGGCGTCAGCATCTAATGCCACCATCTGGTGCCACCAACTAATGCCACCAACCAGTGCCACCATCTGGTGCCACCAACCAATGCCACCACCCAGTGCCACCACCCAGTGCCACCAACCAGTTCCACCAACCAGTGCCACCTCCCAGTGCCACCATCCAGTGGCACCACCCAATGCCACCACCCAATGCCACCAACTAATGCCACCATCTGGTGCCACCACCCAGTGCCACCAACCGGTGCCACCACCCAATGCCACCATCCGGTGCCACCATCCGGCGCCACCATCTGGTGCCACCAACCAATGCCACCACCCAATGCCACCACCCAGTGCCACAATCTGGTGCCACCGCCCAATGCCACCACCCAATGCCACCACCCAATGCCACCATCCGGTGCCACCACCCGCTGCCACCACCCTCTGTCACCCTCTGTCACCCTCCCGCGATCCGCAGCATCCCCACGAAGTTGTCCTCCCGCTCATCCTGTGCCAACTGCCACCCGCCCGCGTCCCCTGCGCTGTCCCCTCCGCTGTCCCCGAGGCTGTCCCCTCCGCTGTCCCCAAGGCTGTCCCCAACCATCTCCAGGCTGAGGATGTCCCCAGGCCAGAGGTGGCCCACGGCCTGGGCCAGCGCCGAGCGCCGCTGGTGGCCCCCGGGTGTCACCGGCAGCGCGAGTGGCACCGCCAGCAGTGGCCTGGGGGACGCGGCGCGGCGCAGCCGGAGGGTGACACCGCCTCGGGGACAGGTGGCCGCGGTGCAGGTGACACTCAGTTGGCCGTAGAGGAGGTACAGGCCGCCGGATGTCACCCGCAGTGTCCCCGCGGTGGCACGACGGATGTCACCGCTGAGGTGAACGCCCCGAACGCCATCCTCGTAGCGCCAGGGGGGGGACGGGGACAGCGAGCCTGGGGACAGGGGGGACATTGGGGTCAGTGGGGACATCAGGGGACATTGGGGACATTGGGGACATTGGGGACATTGGGGACACTGGGGACAGGGGGACAGGGGGACATTGGGGACATTGGGGTCAGAGGGGACATTGGGGACATTGGGGACAGCGGTCAGTGGGGACATTGGGGGACAAGGAGGACATTGGGGACAGTGGGGATGGGGTCAGTGAGGACATGGTGACATCAGGGGACAGCGGTCAGTGCGGACATGGGGGACAGGGGGACATTGGGGACATCGGGGGACATTGGGGACATTGGTGACATTGGGGACATTGGGGTCAGTGGGGACTTGGGGACAGAGGGGACAATGAGGGGACAGAGGAGAGGGGGTGGCACCAGGGGGACACAGGGTGGCCCAAAGGGACATGGGGTCGGTGACACCCTGGGGACAGTCGGTGACACCCTGGGGACAATGACACCCTGGGGACAATGACACCCTGGGGACACTCCGTGACATCTTGGGGACAGTTGGTGACACCCTGGGGACACTCCGTGACATTCTGGGGACAATGACACCCTGGGGACACTCCGTGACACTTTGGGGACACTCCGTGACACTTTGGGGACACTCCGTGACGCTGCCTTATGCCACCCCCGGATGCCGCAGGGGAGGTGACAATGGGGAGGGGACAATGGGACAATGGGGAGGTGACAATGGGGGAGGGGACAATGGGGAGGTGACAATGGGGGAGGTGGCACTTCCTCTGTGAGGAACCCGAGTGACAATTTCGAGATGACTGAGGGGGGGGAGGGGACATTGGGGACATCAGGGGACATCAGGGACAGGAGGGGACATCAGGGGACAGGAGGGGACATCAGGGGACATCCAGGACTCACCGGCACTGAGCAGGACATGGGCGGCGGTGGCAGCCTGAGGGGACAGGAGGGGACAAGGTCAGCACGAGGGTCCCCAACGTCCCCAATGTCCCCAAGGTGTCCCCAAGGTGTCCCCAATGTCCCCGATGTCCCCCATGTCCCCAATGTCCCCATGGTGTCCCCAAGGTGTCCCCAATGTCCCCAATGTCCCCAATGTCCCCAAGGTGTCCACAAGGTGTCCCCAATGTCCCCAAGGTGTCCCCAAAGTGTCCTCAATGTCCCCAATGTCTCCAATGACCCCAATGTCCCCAAGGTGTCCACAAGGTGTCCCCAATGTCCCCAAGGTGTCCCCAAAGTGTCCTCAATGTCCCCAATGTCTCCAATGACCCCAATGTCCCCAAGGTGTCCCCAATGTCCCCAAGGTGTCCCCAATGTCCTCAATGTCCCCATGGTGTCTCCATGGTGTCTCCAAGGTGTCCCCAAAGTGTCCCCATGGTGTCCCCATGGTGTCCCCAGTGTCCCCAGGGTGTCCCCAAGGTGTCTCAATGTCCTCAATGTCCCCAAGGTGTCCCCAAGGTGTTCCCAAGGTGTCCCCAAAGTGTCTCCAATGTCCCCAAGGTGTCCCCAGGGTGTCCCCAAGGTGTCCCAAATGTCCATGGGGATGGACAGGTGGACATGGGATGGACAGATGGATGGACATGGAGATGGACAGATGGACATGGGATGGACAGATGGACACGGGGATGGACAGATGGACACGGGGATGGACAGATGGACACCTGGGAGGGTGGACAGACACGGACGGACACACGGACACCTGGGCAGGTGGACGAGCGGACACGAGGACAAACAGACACCAGGACAGACGGACACCGGGACAAACGGACACCGGGACAGATGGACACCAGGACAAACAGACACCGGGACAAAGGGACACCGGGACAAATGGACACCGGGACAAAGGGACAGATGGACAGACAGACACCAGGACAAATGGACACCGGGACAGACAGACACCGGGACAAAGGGACACCGGGACAGACAGACATCGGGACAGACGGACACCGGGATAAACGGACAGACAGATAGATGGACACCCGGACAAACAGACACCGGGACAAATGGACACCGGGACAAACGGACAGACGGACAGACAGACACCAGGACAGACGGACAGACAGACGGACAGACGGACAGACAGACGGACAGATGGACAGACCGACAGACGGACAGACGGACAGACCGCCCCCCCCCTCCCCGTGCCCACCTTCACCGGGGGCCGCCCCCGGAGCGTCCCCAGGGCGGCGGCGGCGGCTCCGAGCGCGGCGGCGGCGGCGAGAGCGGCGAGAGCGGCCACGGCCGCGGCCAGGCGGCGGCACCGGGAGCGCGCCCGGCCCGGACCCCGCGGCCACGGCCGGTCCCGGTTCTGGTTCTGGTTCCGCTCCAAGTCCCGGTTCTGATCCCCGTACTGGTTCCGCTCCAAGTCCCGGTCCCGGTCCCGCTTCTGGTCCCGGTTCTGGCCCCAGTTCCGTTCCCCGTCCCGGTTTTGCTTTTGCTCCCAGTTCTTCTCCCGGTTCTGGTCCCAGTTCTGGCCCCGGTTCATGGCTCTGTTCTGGTCCCAGTCCCGGTTCCGGTCCCGGTTCTGGTTCTGGTGTGCGTTCCGGTCCCAGTTCCGGTCCCAGTTCTGGTCCTGGCTCATGTCCCGGTCCCGGTCCCGGTTCCGGTCCCAGTTCTGGTTCTGGTGCCCGTTCTGGTCCTGGCTCATGTCCCGGTTCCGGTCCCAGTCCCCGTCCCGGTCCCGGTTCTGCTCCCAATTCTGGTGCGGGTTCTGCTCCCGGTTCTGGTGCCCATTCTGGTCCTGGCTCATGTCCCGGTTCCGGTCCCAATTTTGGTCCCGGTTCCGGTCCCAGTTCTGGTTCTGGTGCCCGTTCTGGTCCCGGTTCTGGTGCCCGTTCTGGTCCCGGTTCCAGTTCTGGTTCTGGTGCCCGTTCTGGTCCTGGATCATGTCCCGGTCCCAGTCCCGGTCCCGGTTCTGGTGCCCGTTCTGGTCCCGGTTCTGCTCCCAGTTCTGGTGCCAGTTCGGGTCCCAGTTCGGGTCCCGGTCCCGGTTCTTGTCCCGGTCCTGGTCCCGCTCCCGGTTCTTGTCCCGGTCCTGGTCCCGGTCCTGGTCCCGGTTCTGCTCCCAGTTCTGGTGCCCGTTCTGGTCCTGTCTCATGTCCCAGTCCTGGTTCTTGTCCCGGCCCTGGTCCCGGTCCCGGTCCTGGTTCCGGTTCTGGTCCCGGTCCCGGTTCTGGCTCATGTCCCGGCCCGGGCAGAGGCAGCGGCAGCTCCGCGGGGCCGCCGCGCGAGTCTCGGGGTCGGCGAGCGGCGACATCGGCGACAGCGGAGCGGGACCGGATTTTAACGGGACACGGGGAGGGGACAACGGTGACAGCGGTGACATCAGGGAAAGGACCGAGACACGGGGAAAGGACCGGGGACACGGGGAGGGGACAGCGGTGACAGCGGGGAGGGGACATCGGGGAGGGGACACGGGGAAAGGACCGGGGAGGGGACACGGGGACACGGGGAGGGGACAGCGGTGACAGCGGTGACATCAGGGAAAGGACCGGGACACGGGGAAAGGAACGGGGAGGGGACACGGGGAAGGGACACGGGGAGGGGACAGCGGTGACATCGGGGAGGGGACACGGTGACATCAGGGAAAGGACCAGGGACGTGGGGAAAGGAACGGGGAGGGGACACGGGGAGGGGACAGCGGGAGGGGACAGTGGGGAGGGGACATGGGTGACATCAGGGAAAGGACCGGGGACATCGGGAAGGGGACAGTGGGGAGGAGACACCGGGAGGGGACACGGGGAGGGGACAGCGGTGACATCAGGGAAAGGACCGGGGACACGGAGAAGGGACGGGAAGGGGACGGCGACATCGGGAAGGGGACCCAAATACCTCGGAAAAACCCACAACCCCCCCAAAAAACCCCAAAATGGGACCCCAAAAAACCCCAAACCTCCCCCAAAATGGGATCCCACAATAAAACCCCAAAACCCCCCAAAATGGGACCCAAAAAATATCCCACAAACCCCCCAAAATGGGACCCTCCAAAAAAACCCCAAATCCCCCAAAATGGGACCCCAAAAAACCCCAAACCTCCCCAAATGGGACCCCAAAAACCCCCAAAATGGGATCCAAAAACCCCAAACCTCCCCAAAATGGGACCCCAAAAACCCCAAAACCCCAAAATGGGAGCCCAAAAAACCCCAAAATTGGACCCCAAGAAACCCCAAAAGCCCCCAAAATGGGACCCAAAAAAAACCCAAAATGGGACAAAAAAACCCCAAAATGGGACCCAAAAAAACCCAAATTGGGACAAAAAAAACCCCAAAATGGGACCCAAAAAAACCCCAACCCCCCCCCCAAAATAAGACCCCACCCCCCCCACCCAAAAAGGGACCCCAAAAACCCCCCCAAAAATGGGGAGGGGACACGGTGACATCAGGGAGGGGACACGGGGGGAGGGGTTGGGGACACTCCGGGGGTGGCACCGGGGAGGGGTTGGGGACACCGGGGAGGGGTTGGGGACACCGGGGAGGTGTTTGGGACACTCCGGGGGTGGCACCGGGGGGGGGTTGGGGACACCGAGGGAACACCGAGAAGGGGTTGGGGACACCGGCGAGGGGTTGGGGACATTGGGGAGGGGTTGGGGACACCGGGAAGGACTCGGGGACACTCCGGGGGTGGCACCGGGAAAGACTCGGGGACACTCGGGGGTGGCACCGGGAGGGTTTGGGGACACTCCGGGGGTGGCACCGGGAGGGTTTGGGGACACCGGGAAGGACTCGGGGACACTCCGGGGGTGGCACCGGGAGGGTTTGGGGACACTCCGGGGGTGGCACCGGGGGTGACAATGCCACATCGGGGGTGGGGACACATCCAGGAGGAAGCGGCGCCTCTGTGGGTGGGGGGACCCCGGGGGGGGGTTGGGGGGATTTGGGGACCCTCCCGGCAGTGACGTCACAAATGGGGTGTCCCCAAGTGTCCCCCAAAAAAGGGAACCCCAAAAAAAGAAAAAAAAAAAACCCCAAAAATGAGAGCATAAAAAAACCCCCAAAATCCCTCCCCCAAAAAAACCTAAAATGGAACCCCCAAAAAACACCCAAAGTGGGACACCCCAAAAAACCCCAAAATCCCCAAAATGGGACCCCACAAAAAAACCCAAAGTGGGACCCCCCCAAAAAACCCAAAATCCCCAAAATGGGACCCCAAAAACCCCAAACCCCCCAAAAAGGGACCCCCAAAAAACCCCAAAATGGGACCCCAAAAAGGGACCCCAAACCCCCCAAAATGGGACCCCAAAAACCCCAAACCAAAATGGGACCCAAATAATGGACCCCAAAAAACCCCAAAATGGGACCCCAAAAAACCCCAAACCCCCAAAATGGGACCCCCAAAAAAACCCCAAAATGTGACCCCAAAAACCCCAAAACCCCTACAATGGGACCCTCAAAAAACTCCAAAATGGGACCCCAAAAAACCCGAAAACGGACCCAAAAAAACCCAAAATCCCCAAATTTGGACCCCCAAATAATCCCAAACTCCACCAAAATGGGACCCCAAAAAATGGACCCAAAAAACCCCAAAACCCCGAAAATGGGACCTCCAAAATCCCCAAAATGGAACCCCCAAAAACCCCAAAATGGAACCCCCAAAAACCCCAAAATGGACCCCCCCCAAAAAACTCCAACCCCCAAAATGGGACCCCCCCAAAAAAACCCAAAATCCCCAAAATGGGACCCCCAAAAACCCCAAACCCCCCAAAATGGGACCCCAAAAAATGGACCCAAAAAACCCCAAAATAGGACCCCAAAAAACCCAAAATCCCCAAAATGGAACCCCCCAAAAAACCCCAAAACCCCGAAAATGGGACCCCCAAAAAAACCCAAAATGGGACCCCAAAATCCCCAAATCCCTTCAAAATGGGACCCCAAAAAACCCAAAACCCCAAAAAATGGGACCCCAAAGAAACTCAAAATATGACCCCAAAAAGGGACCCCAAATCCCCAAAACCAGACCCCAAAAAACCCAAAAAATGGGACCCCAAAAACCACAAACCCTCCAAAAAGGGACCCCCAAAAACCCCCAAATGGACCCCAAAAACCCCAAAAAAACCCCAAAATGTGACACCCCAAAAAACCCCAAACCCCCAAAATGGAACCCCAAAAAACCCAAAATCCCCAAAATGCGACCCCCCAAATAATCCCAAACCCCCTCAAAATGCGACCACAAAAAGGGACCCCAAAACCCCCAAAATCCCCAAAATGGGACCCCAAAAAACCCCAAAATAACCCAAACTCCCCCAAAATGCGACCCCAAAAAATGGACCCCAAAAACCCCAAAAATGGACCCCAAAAGAACCCAAATTAGGACCCCCCCAAAAATCCCCAACCCCCCAAAATGGGACCCCCAAAAAACCCAAAATGGGACCCCAAAAAGGGACCCCAAATCCCCCAAAAAGGGCCCCAAAAAAAAACCCAAAATGGGACCCCAAAAACCCCAAAATCCCCAAAATGGGACCACCAAAAAACCCCAAACACCCCCAAAATGGGACCCCAAAAACTGGACCCCAAAAAATCCCAAAATGGGACCCCAAAAAACCCCAAAAACCCCAAATTCGGGGCCCTTTAGCCCCGCCCCTTTCCCCGCCCCTCCGCCTTAGCCCCGCCCCTTTCCTCGCCCACCAATCCCCGCCTCGCCTGGGGGCGCGCTCAGTGACGTCATCGCGGCAACCCGGAAGCGAGCACTTCCGGGTGCGGCAGGTGAGGGGACGGGGGGGGGGAGGGGGGAGGGGAAATTTGGGGACAATTTTGGGGGTTTGGGGACATTTGGGGACACCTGGGGACATCCAAGGGGGGCTCGGGGACATTTGGGGGGGGTCGGGTCGCTTTGGGGGGGGTTGGGGACATTTCGGGGGGTTTGGGGTCACTTTTGGGGAGCTGGTGACAGTTTTGGGGGGTTTGGGGACATTTGGGGACAATTTTGGGGACATTTGGGGACATGGGGGGGTTGGGGACATTTTTGGGGGGCTTGGGGACATTTGGGGGGGTTTGGCGACATTTGGGGGCATCTGGGGGGGGTTGGGGACAATTTTGAGGGGGGGGTGGGACAATTTTGGGGGGTTTGGGGACATTTGGGGGGTTGGGGACAATTTTGTGGGGGGTTGGGACATTTTTTGGGGGGTTTGGGACAATTTTGGGGACATTTGGGGGGTTTGGGGACATTTGGGGACACTTTTGGGAGGGTTGGGGACATGGGGGCACATTTGGGGACACTCGGGGGGGGTTGGGGACATTTGGGGACAGTTTTGGGGGGTTGGGGACATTTTGGGATATTTGGGGACATTTGGGGACATTTTGGGGGGCGTTGGGACAATTTTGGGGGAGGTTGGGGACATTTTGGGGGGGTTAGGGACACTTTGGTGAGAATTTTGGGGGGATTTGGGACATTTTGGGGGGTTTGGGACAATTTTAGGGGGTTGGAGACGTTTGGGGACAATTTTGGGGACATTTGGGGATATTTGGGGACACCTGGGGGAGGTTTGGGACAATTTTGGGGACACCCGGGTGGGGTTTGGGACATTTGGGGGGATTGGGGACATTTGGGGACATCCGGGGGAGGTTGGGGACAATTTTGGGAGGGGGGGTTAGGACAAATTTGGGATTTTTGGGGATATTTGGGGACATTTGGGGGGTTGGGGACATTTTTGGGGACATTTGGGGGGTTTTGGGGACATTTGGGGACACTTTTGGGGGGATTGGAGACACCTGAGGGGGGTTGGGGACACTTTTGGGGGGGGGTTGGGGACATTTGGGGACATCCAGGAGGGGATGGGGACATTTGGGGGAGTTTGGGACAATTTTTGGGGGGTTGGGGACATTTGGGGACACCTGAGGGGGGTTGGGACAGTTTTGGGGGGTTTGGGACAATTTTGGGACAATTTTGGGGAAATTGGGACAATTTTGGGGGGATTTGGGACAATTTTTGGGACATTTGGGGACACTTTTGGGGGGTTGGGACAATTTTGGGGACATTTTGGGATATTTGGGGACACCTGGGGGGGGTTGGGGACACTTTTGGGGGGTTTGGGGACATTTTGGGGGGTTGGGGACATTTGGGGTTGTTTGGGACATTTTGGGGACATTTTTGGGGGGTTGGGGACACTTTCGGGGACATTTGGGGGGTTGGGGACAAATTTTGGGGACAAATTTTGGGGACAAATTTTGGGGACATTTGGGGATATTTGGGGACACTTTTGGGAGGGTTGGGGACATCTGTGGACATTTGGGGACACTTTTTGGGGGGGTTTGGGACATTTTTTGGGGGTGTCTGGGACAATTTCGGGGATGTTTGGGGGGGGGTTGGGGACATTTGGGGACATTTTGGGATATTTGGGGACACCTGGGGGGGTTTGGGGACATTTGGGGGGGTTTGGGGACAATTTTGGGGACGTTTGGGGGGTTTGGGGACATTTGGGGACATTTTGGGGAGATTGGGGACAATTTGGGGGAATTTGGGGACATTTGGGGGACATTTGGGGGGTTTGGGGACAATTTTGGGGACATTTGGGGACAGATTTTGGGGACATTTGGGGGGTTGGGGACAATTGGGGACATTTGGGGGGATTTGGGGACATTTGGGGACACCTCAGGGGTGGCTTTGGGGACGGGGCTGATTTTTTTACTCAAAATTGGGATTTTTTTTTTGCCCAAATTTTGGGGTTTTTTTGCCCCCAAAGTTGGAAATTTTTACCCCAAATTTGAGAAATTTTACTTCAAATTTGGGAATTTTGCCCCAAATTTTAGAATCTTTACCCGAAATTTGGGATTTTTGCCTGAAATTTGGGGATTTTCAGCCAAAATTTGAGGGTTTTGCCCCAAATTCGATTTTTTGGCCCAAAATTTGAATTTTTTGCCCCAAAATTGGAATTCTTGTCCCAAATTTGGAATTTTTGCCCCAAATTTGGAATTTTTGCCCCAAATTTGGGAATTTTTTTTGCCCCAAAATTTGAATTTTTGCCCCAAATTTGGAATTTTTACCCCAAATTTTGGGATTTTTACCCCAAATTTTGGGTTTTTTCCCACTTTGGGGTCGGGAGGGAATCGAAGCCTCGTTCGGGTTAATTGGGGCTCTGTCATTATGCAAATGAGCCGTGTCATTATGCATATGTATGCAAATGAGGCTGTGGTTATGCAAATTGTGTGGGCGGGGGGAGGGAACCGGGATAGGCCAGGACTGGTTAGACCGGGTTTAATTAATCCAGGCTTTAATTAGTCCTGAGTTTAATTAGTCCAGAGTTTAGTTAATCCACTCTAATTAATGAAACTGGGTCCTGTCAATCCAGAGTTTAATTAATCCCAAATTTAATTAATCCTGAGTTTAATTAACCCCGAGTTTAATTAATCCTGAGTTTAATTAATCCAGCCTAATTAATTAAACTGGGTTCTGTCAATCCAGAGTTTAATTAATCCCAAATTTAATTAATCCATATTTTAATTAGTCCAGAGTTTAGTTATTCCAGTCTAATTAATTAAACTGTGTTCAATTAACCCTGAGTTTAATTAACCCAGAGTTTCATTAATCCGGTCCAATTAATTAAACATGGTTCAGTTAATCCTGAGTGTAATTAATCCACTCTAATTAATTAAACTGGATTTGTTAACCCAGGGTTTAATTAATCCAGAGTTTAATTAATTCAGTCTAATTAATTAAACTGGGTTCAGTTAATCCTGAGTTTAATTAATCCTGAGTTTAATTAATCCAGTCTAATTAATTAAAAGGGTTCAATTAATCCTGAGTTTAATTAGTCCAGAGTTTAATTAATCCTGAGTTTAATCAATCCAGCCTAATTAATTAAACTGGGTTCTGTCACTCCAGAGTTTAATTAATCCAGAGTTTAATTAATCCAGTCCAAATAATTAAATAGGTTTCAATTTATCCTGAGTTTAATTAATCCAGACCTTGATTAGTCCAGAGTTTAGTTAATCCAGTCTAATTAATTAAACTGTGTTCAATTAATCCTGTGTTTAATTAATAAAGAGTTTAATTAATCCAGTCTAATTAATTAAACTGGGTTCAGTTAATGCTGAGTTTAATAAATCCAGAGTTTAATTAATCCAGTCCAATTAATGAAACAGGGTTCAATTAATCCAGAGTTTCGTTAATCCCGAGTTAATTAACCCTGCCTCGTTAATTCCATGGCTTCAATTCATTCCCTGTCCCTCCTGGTGTCCCCAAAGTTCTCATGGTGGCCCCAGATGGTTCCTGGTGTCCCCAAGGTCCCCGTGGTGTCCCCAAGGTTCTCATGGTGGCCCCGTTGGGTTCCTGGTGGCCCTCGAGTTTCCCATGGTGTCCCCAAGGTCCCTGTGATGTCCCCAAGGTTCCCATGGTGGCCCCAGATGGTTCCTGGTGGCCCTGGAGGTCCCCGTGGTGTCCCCAAGGGGTTCCTGGTGGCCCTGGAGGTCCCTGTGATGTCACCAAGGGGTTCCTGGTGGCCCTGGAGGTCCCCGTGGTGTCCCCAAGGGGTTCCTGGTGGCCCTGGAGGTCCCCGTGGTGTCCCCAAGGTTCTCACGGTGGACCGGTTCTCTTGCAGCTCCTGCCATGGACTTGGTGGCCGGGCTGGTGGCCCTGGTGGCCCTGGTGGCCCTGACCCTGCTGGTGGTGGCCCAGCGGCTCGGGCTCCTCTACCGCATCTTCCACAAGGTCTGGGGACACCTGGGGACACCTGGGGACACCGGTGGGGTGGAGAACATTGGGACAGGTGACACCGGTGGGATGGAGAACATTGGGACAGGTGACACCAGGGATGGAGAACATTGGGACAGGTGACACCAGGGGTGGAGAACATTGGGACAGGTGACACCAGGGGTGGAGAACATTGGGACAGGTGACACCAGGGGTGGAGAACATTGGGACAGGTGACACCAGGGGTGGAGAACATTGGGACAGGTGACACCAGGGATGGAGAACATTGGGACAGGTGACACCAGGGGTGGAGAACATTGGGACAGGTGACACCGGTGGGATGGAGAACATCAAGGACAGGTGACACCAGGGGTGGAGAACATTGGGACAGGTGACACCAGGGTGGAGAACATTGGGACAGGTGACACCGGTGGGATGGAGAACATTGGGACAGGTGACACCAGGGGTGGAGAACATTGGGACAGGTGACACCGGTGGGGTGGAGAACATTGGGACAGGTGACACCGGTGGGATGGAGAACATTGGGACAGGTGACACCAGGGGTGGAGAACATTGGGACGGGTGACACCAGGGATGGAGAACATTGGGACAGGTGACACCAGGGATGGAGAACATTGGGACAGGTGACACCAGGGATGGAGAACATTGGGACAGGTGACACCAGGGATGGAGAACATTGGGACAGGTGACACCAGGGGTGGAGAACATTGGGACGGGTGACACCAGGCATGGAGGACATTGGGACAGGTGACACCAGGGGTGGAGAACATTGGGACAGGTGACACCGGTGGGGTGGAGAACATTGGGACAGGTGACACCAGGGATGGAGAACATTGGGACAGGTGACACCGGTGGGATGGAGAACATTGGGACAGGTGACACCGGTGGGATGGAGAACATTGGGACAGGTGACACCGGTGGGATGGAGAACATTGGGACAGGTGACACCGGTGGGATGGAGAACATTGGGACAGGTGACACCAGGGATGGAGAACATTGGGACAGGTGACACCAGGGGTGGAGAATATCAAGGACAGGTGACACCGGTGTCACCGCTGACCTGGTGTCCCCACGGTGGCCCAGGTGGACACGACGAGTCCCCGTCACGGTGGGGAGCTGGTGGCCGAGGTGCTGCGGGCCCATGGCGTGCAGTTCCTCTTCACGCTGCCCGGTGGCCACATCTCGCCCGTGCTGGTGGCCTGCGAGAAGATCGGCATCCGCGTGGTGGACACGCGCCACGAGGCCACCGCCGTCTTCGCCGCCGACGCCGTCTCGCGGCTCTCGGGTCAGCACCGGGGACATCTCGGGGGGTTTGTCCCTGGAGGTGGCCCCATGACCAACATCTCCAGAGGGTTTTGGGGACCCACCTTAGTGGATCTTGGGTGACCTGAGAAGGTTCCAAGACCTTGGGATGTCCAGGGTGGGATTTGTCCCCATTTGTCCCCAAGGGATGGAGGTGGCCCCATGACCAACATCTCCAGAGGGTTTTGGGGACCCACCTTGATGGATCTTGGGTGACCTAAGAGGGTTCCAGGTTCTTGGGATGTCCAGGGTGGGATTTGCCCCCTTTTGTCCCCAAGGGATGGAGGTGGCCCCATGGCCAACATCTCCAGAGGGTTTGGGCTGTCCCACCTCGGTGGGTCCTGAGAAGCTTCAAGGACGTGGAAGGGTGGGACTTGTCCCCGTTTGTCCCCTCCTGGATCAAATCCATCCTGTGGCCACCTTGGCGCCATCTTGGCACCACCTTGAGGCCATCTTGGTGCCACCTTGGTGTCACCTTGGAGCCATCTTGAAGCCACCTTGATGTCACCTTGGTGCCACCTCGGTGCCACCCTGGTGTCCCCTCAATGCCACCCCCCCTGTCCCCTCAGGCCGCATCGGCGTGGCGGCGGTGACGGCGGGCCCGGGTGTCACCAACGCGGTGACGGCGGTGAAGAACGCCCAGATGGCCGAGTCGCCGCTGCTGCTGCTGGCCGGGGCCGCCGCCCGCCTGCAGAAGGTGGGAGCCGGTCCCGATTCCCGGATTCCCAAATTCCCGATTTCCTCAATTCCCGAATTCCCAAATTCCCGATTTCCTCAATTCCTGAATTCCTCAATTCCCGAATTCCCGAATTCCCAAATTCCCAACTTCCTGAATCCCCGAATTTCCAAATTCCTGAATTACCGATTTCCCCAATTCCCGAATTCCTGAATTCCCGAATTCCCGATTTCCTCAATTCCCAAATTCCCAAATTCCTGATTTCCTCAATTCCTGAATTCCTGAATTCCCAAATTCCCGATTTCCTGAATCCCCAAATTTCCAATTTCCTGAATTACCAAATTCCCAACTTCCTGAATCCCCGAATTTCCAAATTCCCGAATTCCCAAATTCCCGATTTCCTCAATTCCCGAATTCCCAAATTCCTGATTTCCTCAATTCCCAAATTCCTGATTTCCTCAATTCCCGAATTCCTGAATTCCCAAATTCCCAACTTCCTGAATTCCCGAATTTCCAAATTCCTGAATTCCCAAATTCCCGATTTCCTCAATTCCTGAATTCCTCAGTTCCCAAATTCCCAAATTCCCGATTTCCTCATTTCCCAAATTCCTCAATTCCCAAATTCCCAACTTCCTGAATCCCCGAATTTCCAAATTCCTGAATTACCGATTTCCCCAATTCCCGAATTCCTGAATTCCCGATTTCCTCAATTCCCAAATTCCCAAATTCCCGATTTCCTCAATTCCTGAATTCCCAAATTCCCGATTTCCTGAATCCCCAAATTTCCAATTTCCTGAATTACCAAATTACCAAATTCCCGAATTCCCCAAAATCCTGAATTCCTGAATTCCCGAATTTCCAAATTCCTGAATTACCAAATTCCCCAATTCCCGAATTCCCCAAAATCCTGAATTCCTGTATCCCCAAATTTCCAAATTCCTGAATTACCAAATTCCCCAATTCCTGAATTCCTGAATTCCCCAAAATCCTGAATCCCTGAATTTCCAAATTCCCCAAAATCCCAAATTCCCCAGTTCCCAAATTCCCGAATTCCCAATTTCACCAATTCCTCAATTCCCCCAATTCCTCAATTCCCCCATCCCCCAATTTCCGAATTCCTGAAATCCCAAATTCCTCAATTCCCAAATTCCCAACTTTCTGAATCCCCGAATTTCCAAATTCCTGAATTACCGAATTCCCCAGTTCCCAAATACCTGAATTCCCAAATTTCCAAATGCCCAAATTACCCAATTCCCGAATTCCCCAAAATCCTGAATTCCTGAATCCCTGAATTCCCAAATTCCCCAAAATCCCAAATTCCTGAAATCCCAAATTCCCCAGTTCCGAATTCCCGATTTCCCCAATTCCTCAATTCCCCCATTCCCCAATTCCCAAATGCCTGAATTCCCCAATTCCCATATTTCCAAATTCCTGAATTACCGAATTCCCCGATTCCCAAATTCCCAAATTCCCAATTTCCCCTATTTCCCAATTCCCAAATTCCTGAATTCCCAAATTTCCCAATTCCTGAATTCCCGGATTTCCCGTATTCCCAAATTCCTCAATTCCCAAATTCCCCAGTTCCCAAATTCCTGAATTCCCAATTTCACCAATTCCTCAATTCCCCCAATTCCTCAATTCTCCCATTCCCCAATTTCCGAATTCCTGAATTCCTGAAGTCCCAAATTCCCCAATTCCCAAATGCCTCAATTCCCAAATTTCCAAATTCCTGAATTACCAAATGCCCCAAAATCCTGGATTCCTGAATCCCTGAATTCCCAAATTCCCCAAAATCCCAAATTCCCGAAATCCCAAATTCCCCAGTTCCCAAATTCCCAATTTCACCAATTCCTCAATTCCCCCAATTCCTCAATTCCCCCATCCCCCAATTTCTGAATTCCTTAATTCCTGAATTCCCAAATTCCCCAATTCCTGAATTTCCAAATTCCTGAATTACTGAATTCCCAAATTCCCAACTTCCTGAATCCCCGAATTTCCAAATTCCTGAATTACCAAATTCACCAATTCCCGAATTCCTGAATCCCTGAATTCCCAATTTCCCCAATTTCCCCAATTTCCCCAATTTCCCAATTCCTGGATTCCCGGATTCCCCGAATTCCCAAATTCCCGAATTCCAGAATTCCTGAATTCTCGAAATCCTCAATTCCCCAATTTCCCAATTCCTGAATTCCTGAATTCCCCCATTCCCAATTTCCTGAATTTCCCCATTCCCAAATTCCCAAATTCCCTTTGCCATTCCCAAATTCCTGGTGCCATTTTGGAATTCCCAAATCCCCAAATTCCCAATGCCCATTCCCGAATTCCCTTTGCAGTTCCCGAATTCCCTTTGCCATTCCCAACTTCCTGGTGCCATTTTTGAATTCCCGATTTCTCCAATTCCCTTTGCCATTCTCAAATTCCCAAATTCCCAAAGAATTCCCAAAGAATTCCCGAACAATTCCCAAAGAATTCCCGAACACTTCCAGGGCCGCGGGGCTCTCCAGGACATCCCGCAGCTGCCGCTGTTCCCAAATTCCCAAATTCCCTTTGCCATTCCCAACTTCCTGATGCCAGTCCCAAATTCCTGGTGCCATTTTGGAATTCTTGAATTCCCCAATTCCCAAATTCCCAAATTCCCTTTGCCGTTCCCAACTTCCTGGTGCCATTTTGGAATTCCCTATTTCTCCAATTCCCATTCCCAAATTCCCAAATTCCCGAATAATTCCCAAAGAATTCCCGAACACTTCCCGGACACTTCCAGGGCCGCGGGGCTCTCCAGGACATCCCGCAGCTGCCGCTGTTCCCAAATTCCCAAATTCCCGAATTCCCTTTTCCATTCCCAAATTCCTGGTGCCACTTTGGAATTCTTGAATTCCCAAATAATTCCCAAATTCCCTTTGCCATTCCCAAATTCCTGGTGCCATTTTGGAATTCCTAAATTCCTGGTGCCATTTTGGAATTCCCAATTTCTCCAATTCCCTTTCCAATTCCCAAATTCCCAAACAATTCCCAAACAATTCCCGAATAATTCCCGAACAATTCCCGAACACTTCCAGGGCCGCGGGGCTCTCCAGGACATCCCGCAGCTGCCGCTGTTCCCAACTTCCCAAATTCCTGAATTCCTTTTGCCATTCCCAACTTCCTGGTGCCATTTTGGAATTCCCAAATCCCCAAATTCCCAAATTCCCAAATTCCCTTTTCCATTCCCAAATTCCCTTTGCCATTCCCAACTTCGTGGTGCCATTTTGGAATTCTTGAATTCCCAAATAATTCCCAAATTCCCGAATTCCCTTTGCCATTCCCAAATTCCCTTTGCCATTCCCAACTTCCTGGTGCCATTTTGGAATTCTTGAATTCCCGAATTCCGTTTGTTATTCCCAACTTCCTGGTGCCATTTTGGAATTCCCAAATTCCCACATTCCCAAATTCCTGATGTCCATTCCCAAATTCCTGATGCCATTCCCAACTTCCTGGTGCCATTTTGGAATTTCCAAATCCCCAAATTCCCCAATTCCCGAATTCCCAAATTCCCTTTGCCAATCCCAACTTCCTGGTGCCATTTTGGATTTCCCAATTTCTCCGATTCCTTTTCCCATTCCCAAATTCCCAAATTCCCAAAGAATTCCTGAACAATTCCCGGATTCCAGGGCCGCGGGGCTCTCCAGGACATCCCGCAGCTGCCGCTGTTCCCAAATTCCCAAATTCCCAAATTCCCTTTGCCATTCCCAAATTCCCTTTGCCATTCCCAAATTCCCTTTGCCATTCCCAACTTCCTGGTGCCATTTTGGAATTTCCAAATTCCCAAATTCCCGATGCCCATTCCCAAATTCCCTTTACCATTCCCAAATTCCTTTTGCCATTCCCAAATTCCCAAATTCCCGAATAATTCCCAAAGAATTCCCGGATTCCAGGGCCGCGGGGCTCTCCAGGACATCCCACAGCTGCCGCTGTTCCCAAATTCCCAAATTCCTGAATTCCCTTTGCCATTCCCAAATTCCCTTTGCCATTCCCGAATTCCCTTTGCCATTCCCAACTTCCTGGTGCCATTTTGGAATTCCCAAATCCGCAAATTCCCGATCCCCATTCCCGAATTCCCTTTGCCATTCCCAAATTCCTGATGCCATTCCCAAATTCCTGGTGCCATTTTGGAATTCCCAATTTCTCCACTTCCCTTTCCCATTCCCAAATTCCCGAACAATTCCGGAACAATTCCCGGATTCCAGGGCCGCGGGGCTCTCCAGGACATCCCGCAGCTGCCGCTGTTCCGGCCCATCTGCAAATCCGCCCTTTCCGTGGCCGCCGTGCGCGACATCGTCCCCGTCCTGCGCCGCGCCATCGCCACCGCCATGGGCGGCACGCCGGGTCAGCAACGCCCCCGCTTCCCAAGTTCCCAAAATTCCCAAAATTCCCGGAAATTCCTGAAAAATCCAGAAAATTCACGAAAATTCACGAAAATTCACAAAATTCCAGAAAATTCACGAAAATTCACGAAAATTCCCAAAAAATCACAAAAAATTCCTGAAAATGGGGTTTGGGGAGGGAGGAATCCCAAAATTCCCATGGGTCAGAGTCACAAAATTCCTGAAAATTCACGAAAATTCCCCAAAATTCCCGAAAATTCCCCAAAATTCCCGAAAATGGGGTTTGGGGAGGGGGGAATCCCAATATTCCCAATGGTCAGAATCCCAAAATTCCCAAAAACTGGGATTTGGGGTGGGCTAAATCTCAAAATTCCCAAAAAACGGGATTTGGAGTGGGGAGAATCCCAAAATTCCCTTGGGATTGGGATCCCAAAATTTCCCTGGGTGGGAATCCCAAAATTCCCATAGAGAGGATTTTTGGGATAGGAAGAATCCCAAAATTCCCAAAAACTGGGATTTGGGGTGGGGGGGATCCCAGAATTCCCATGGGATCCTGAAATTCCCCAAAAAATGGGGTTTGGGAAGGGGGGAATGCCAGAATTCCCAAAAATCCCCAAAAACCGGGATTTGGGGAGTGGGGAATCCCAATATTCCCAATAGTCAGAATCCCAAAATTCCCAAAAAACAGAATTTGGGGTGGGGGAAATGCCAGAATTGCCATTGGTCAGAATCCCAAAATTCCCAAAAATGGGGTTTGGGGAGGGAGAATTCCCAATATTTCCATTGGTCAGAATCCCAAAATTCCCGAAAATGGGGTTTAGGGTGGGGAATCCCAATATTCCCAATTGTCAGAATCCCAAAATTCCCAAAAAACAGAATTTGGGGAGGGAGAAATTCCAAAATTCCCATAGGTCAGAATCCCAAAATTCCCAAAAATGGGATTTGGGGTGGGGGGAATCCCAATATTTCCATTGGTCAGAATCCCAAAATTGCCAAAAATGGGGCTTGGGGTGGGTGAAATCCCAAAATTCCCATAGGTCAGAATCCCAAAATTCCCAAAAATGAGGATTTGGGATGGGAGAAATCCCAAAATTTCCATGGGATCGGGATCCCAAAATTTCCCTGGGTCAGAATCCCAAAATTTCTTTGGAATTGGGATCCCAAAATCAGGCCTGGGATGGGAATTTGGGATGGGAGAAATCCCAGAGGTTTTTGGGGTTTTTTGGGGGGATTTTTTGGAGTTTTTTTGGGATTTTTTTGTGCTTTTTTGGGGGTTATTTTGGGTCCTGCTGTGGGATTTTGGGGCTCAAACCCCGTGAGGGGATTTTGGGGTGACCCCGGTGGATTTGGGGTTTTTTGGGGTGTCTGGGATCAGCTCAGGGGGGTTTGGGGTCAGATTTGGGGCTGTTCCCAGAGGATTTTTTGGGGGTTTTGGGGGGATTTTTTAGGGGTTTTTTTGGGTTTTTTTGGGGGGTCTCAAACCCGCTAAAGGGATTTTGGGGTGACCCCGGTGGATTTGGGGTTTTTTGGGTTGTCTGGGATCAGCTCAAGGGGGTTTGGGGACAGATTTGGGGCTGTTCCCAGAGGTTTTTTGGGGGAATTTTTGGGATTTTTTAGGGGGTTTTCTTGGGTTTTTTATCGGGATTCTGCTGTGGGATTTTGGGACTCAAACCCCTTGATGGATTTTGGGGTGACCCCGGTGGATTTGGGGATTTTGGGGTGTCTGGGATCAGCTCAGGAGGGTTTGGGGTCAGATTTGGGGCCGTTCCCAGAGGGTTTTTTTGGGGAAATTTTGGGTTTTTTTGGTGCCTTTTGGGTTTTTTTTGGGGTCCTGCTGTGTGATTTTGGGTCTCAAACCCCGTGAGAGGATTTTGGGGTGACCCCGGTGGATTTGGGGTTTTTGGGGTGTCTGGGATCAGCTCAGGAGGGTTTGGGGTCAGATTTGGGGGCATTCCCAGAGGATTTTTTGGGGAATTTTGGGGATTTTTTTTAGGGTTTTTTTGGGGTTATTTTGGGTCTTGCTGTGGGTGTTGGTTCTCAAACCCCGTGGGGGGATTTTGGGGTGACCCTGGTGGATTTGGGGATTTTGGGGTGTCTGGGATCAGCTCAGGGGGGTTTGGGGACAGATTTGGTGCCATTCCCAGAGGGTTTTTGGGGAATTTTTGCGATTTTTTGGGATTTTTTTGTGCTTTTTGGGGGTTTTTTGGGGTCCTGCTGTGGGATTTGGGGTTTCAAAGCCCGTGAGGGGATTTTGGGGTGACCTCGGTGGATTTGGGGTTTTTTGGGGTGTCTGGGATCAGCTCAGGAGGATTTGTGGTCCGATTTGGGGCCGTTCCCAGAGGGTTTTTTGGGGAATTTTTGGGATTTTTTAGGGTTTTTTTGGTTTTTTTGGGGGTCTTGCTGTGGGATTTTTGAGCTCAAACCCCATGAGTGAATTTTGGGGTGACCCTGGCGGATTTGGGGATTTTGGGGGGCCCCACAGGCCCCGTGTTCGTGGAGCTGCCCATCGATGTCCTCTACCCCTTCCACGTGGTGCAGAAGGAGCTCGGGGGCTCCCAGACCCCGCGGGGGCTGCGGGGGAAGCTCGTCCAGTGGTGAGAAAACACCCCGAAAACACCCCAAAAACCATCCTAAAAACACCCCAAAACCACCCCGAAAATACCCCAAAATAACACCAAAAATACCCCCAAAACCAGCCCTAAACCACCCCAAAAATACCCCAAAAACACCCCAAAAACCATCCTAAAAACACCCCTAAAACCATCCTAAAAACACCCCGAAAATACCCCAAAAGAAGCCCAAAAATGCCCCGAAAACACCCCGAAAATACCCCAAAATAACACCAAAAATACCCCAAAAACCAGCCCTAAACCGCCCCAAAAATACCCCGAAAACACCCCAGAAACCATCCTAAAAACACCCCAAAACCACCCCAAAAATACCCAAAAATAACAGCAAAAATACCCTAAAAAACCAGCCTGAAACCACCCCAAAACCACCCCAAAAACCAGCCTAAAACCACCCCAAAAATACCCTGAAAACAACCCCAAAACCACCCAAAAAATACCCTAAAAACACCCCAAAATACCCCAAAATAACACCAAAAACACCCCAAAAACCAGCCCTAAACCACCCCAAAAATACCCAAAAAATACCCCAAAATAACACCATAAATACCCCAAAAAACAGCCCTAAACCACCCCAAAAAATACCCCAAAACCACCCCAAAAACCAGCCTAAAAACACCCTCAATATACCCCAAAATAATACGAAAAACACCCCCAAAATACCCCAAAATAACACCCCAAAAATCCCCCCAAAAAAACCCTAAAAACAACCCAAAAATACCCCAAAACCACCCCTAAAAACACCCCCAAAATAACCCAAAAAATCCCCCCAAAAACCCCCTGAAAACAACCCAAAAATACCCCAAAATAACTCCAAAAATACCCCTAAAAACAACCCAAAACCACCCCAGAAATACCTCAAAATAACCCAAAATAACACAAAAAACATCCCAAAAACCATCCCAAAAACAACCCAAAAATAACCCAAAAAACACCCCAAAATACCTCAAAAACACCCCTAAAAACAACCCAAACCCACCCCAAAAATATCCTGAAAACATCCCAAAAATACCCTGAAAACACCAAAGCACCACCAAAAATCTCCACAAACCCCACAAAACCCCACAAAAACCCTAAACCCCACAAAAACCCCATCAAAACCCAAAAACCCCACCAGAAAAACCTCAAAACCCCATAAAACCCCACAAAAACCCCACAAAAACCCCATAAAAATCAAAACAAACTCATAAAAACTCCCCCAAATATCCACCAAAACCCCACAAAAACCCATTAAAAACCCAGCAAAACCACACAAAAACCCCACAAAAACCCCACAAAAATCCCCCAAAACCCTATAAAAACCCAATAAAATCCCCAAAACCCCACAAAAACCCCATAAAACCCCCATAAAAACTCCCCCAAATATCCATCAAAAGCCCACAAAACCCCATTAAAAAACCCATCCAAACCCCATAAAACACCCCAAAAATCCCCCAAATCCCTATAAAAACCCAATAAAATCCCCCAAAAACCCCACAAAGACCCAAAACCCCCACAAAACTCCACAAAAACCCCATAAAAACTCCCCCAAATATCCACCAAAACCCTACAAAAACCCCACAAAAACCCCACAAAAACCCCATAAAAACCCCCCAAAAATCCCCCAAATCCCTATAAAAACCCAATAAAATCCCACAAAAACCCCACAAAAAGCCCATAAAAACCCCACAAAAACCCAAAAAACCCAAAAAAACTCCCCCAAATACCCATCAAAACCCCACAAAAACCCATTAAAAAACCCACAAAAACCCCATAAACCCCCCAAAAATCCCCCAAAACCCTATAAAAACCGAATAAAATCCCCAAAACCCCACAAAAACCCCATAAAAACTCCACAAAAACCCCATAAAAACCCCATAAAAACCCCATAAAAACTCCCCCAAATATCCACCAAAACCCCACAAAAACCCATTAAAAACCCCATCAAAACCCCATAAACCCCCCCAAAAATCCCCCAAAACCCAATAAAATCCCCAAAACCCCACAAAAACCCCATAAAAACTCCATAAAAACCTCACAAAAACTCCCCCAAATACCCATCAAAACCCCACAAAAATCCATTAAAAAACCCATCAAAACCCCATAAAACCCCCCCAAAAATCCCCCAAAACCCTATAAAAACTCAATAAAATCCCCAAAACCCCACAAAAACCAAAAAAACCCCCCACAAAACCCCACAAAACCCCATTAAAACCCCATAAAAACTCCTCCAAATATCCACCAAAACCCTACAAAAACCCCATAAAACCCCCCCAAAAATCCCCCAAATCCCTATAAAAACCCAATAAATTCCCCAAAAAACCCATAAAAACCAAAAAAACCCCCATAAAAACTCCCCAAATATCCATCAAAACCCCACGAAAACCCATTAAAAAACCCATCAAAACCCAATAAAAACCCCATAAAACCCCCCCAAAACCCATTAAAACCCCCCCAAAAATCCCCCAAATCCCTATAAAAACCCAATAAATTCCCCAAAGACCCCAAAAACCCCACAACCCCACAAAAACCCCCCAAAAACCCCAAACCCCCCGTAGGTACCTGCGGCAGTACGTGGCCGATCTCTTCGCCGGCGCCTGGGAACCGCGGGAGCTGCAGCCGCTGCCCCTCAGCGTGCCCAGAGCCACCCCAAAGGAGGTGAGACCCCAAAAACCCGAAACTCACCCCAAAACTGACCCCAAACTGACCCCAAAACCCTAAAACTGACCCTGAACAGGTGAGACCCCAAAACCCTGAAACTGACCCTAAAATGGAACCCAAACTGACCCCAAAACTTACCCTGAACAGCTGAGAGCCAAAATACCCCGAAACTGACCCCAAACTGACCCCAAACTGACCCTAAAACGGAACCCAAACTGACCCCAAACTGACCCAGAACAGGTGAGACCCCAAAACCCCCAAACTGACCCTAAAACGGGCCCCAAAAACCCCAAAACTGACCCCAAAACTGACCCCAAAACGGGCCCCAAAACTGACCCCAAAACCCCAAAACTGACCCCAAAAACGCCGAAACGGAACCCAAAACTGACCCCAAAACTGACCCCAAACTGACCCCGAACAGGTGAGAGCCAAAATACCCCAAAACTGACCCCAAAAAACCCCAAAACTGACCCCAAAACTGACCCTGAACATCTGAGAGCCAAAAAACCCCAAAACTGACCCCAAAAAACCCCAAAACTGACCCCAAAACTGACACCAAAACTGACCCCAAAACTGACCCTGAACAGCTGAGAGCCAAAATACCCCGAAACTGACCCCAAAAACCCCAAAACTGACCCCAAAACTGACCCTGAACAGCTGAGAGCCAAAATACCCCAAACGGACCCCAAAAACCCCAAAACTGACCCCAAAAGTGACCCCGAAATGGAACCCAAAACTGACCCCAAAACTGACCCCAAAACTGACCCCGAACAGGTGAGAGCCCCAAAAGCCTGAAATGGACCCCAAAAAAACCCAAAACTGACCCCAAAACAAACCCCACACAGGTGAGAGCCCAAAAACCCCAAACGGAACCCAAAAAAACCCATAACTGACCCCAAAACACCAAAACTGACCCCAAAACTGACCCCGAAACCCCAAAACTGACCCCGAACAGGTGAGAGCCAAAAAACCCTGAAACTGACCCTAAAACGGAACCCAAACTGACCCCAAAACCCCAAAACTGACCCCAAACAGGTGAGAGCCAAAAACCCCAAAACTGACCCCAAAACCCCAAAACTGACCCCGAACAGGTGAGAGCCAAAAACCCCAAAACTGACCCCAAACTGACCCCAAAACCCTAAAACTGACCCTGAACAGGTGAGACCCCAAAAACCCCGAAATTGACCCCAAAACTGACCCCAAAACTGACCCTGAACAGGTGAGAGCCCAAAAACCCCAAAACTGACCCCAAAAAACCCCAAAACTGACCCCAAAACTGACCCTGAACAGGTGAGAACCCCCAAAACCCCAAAACTGACCACAAAAAACCCCAAAATGGACCCCAAGACTGACCCCAAACTGACCCCAAAACTGACCCCGAAACCCCAAAACTGACCCCGAACAGCTGAGACCCCAAAACCCCGAAACTGACCCCAAAACTGACCCTGAACAGGTGAGAGCCCCAAAACCCCAAAACTGACCACAAAAAACCCCAAAACTGACCCCAAAACTGACCCCAAAACTGACCCCAAAACTGACTCCGAACAGGTGAGAGCCCAAAAACCCCAAAACGGACCCCAAAACTGACCCCAAAACTGACCCCAAACATCTGAGAGCCAAAAGACCCCAAAACGGACCCCAAAAACCCCAAAACTGACCCCGAACAGGTGAGAGCCCAAAAACCCCAAAACTGACCCCAAACTGACCCTGAACAGGTGAGAGCCCAAAAACCCCAAAACTGACCCCAAACAGGTGAGAGCCCCAAACCCCAAAACTGACCCCAAAAAACCCCAAAACTGACCCCAAACCTGACCCCAAAATTGGCCCCGAACAGGTGAGAGCCCCAAAAACCCCAAAACTGACCCCAAAACTGACCCCAAAACTGACCCAGAACAGGTGAGACCCCAAAACCCCAAAACTGACCCTAAAACGGACCCAAAACTGACCCCAAAACAAACCCCAAACAGGTGAGAGCCCAAAACCCCGAAACTGACCCTAAAACGTGCCCCAAAACTGACCCCAAAACCCCAAAACTGAGCCTGAACAGGTGAGAGCCCCAAAAACCGCAAAACTGACCCCAAAACTAACCCCAAAACCCCAAAACTGACCCCAAAAACGCCGAAACGGAACCCAAAACTGACCCCAAAACTGTCCCCAAACAGGTGAGAGCCAAAAAACCCCAAAACTGACCCCAAAACTGACACCAAAACTGACCCCAAAACTGACCCCAAACTGACCCCAAAAACCCCAAAACTGACCCCAAAACAGGCCCCAAAACTGACCCCAAAACCCCAAAACTGACCCCAAAAACGCTGAAACGGAACCCAAAACTGACCCCAAAACTGACCCCAAACTGACCCCGAACAGGTGAGAGCCAAAAAACCCCAAAACTGACCCCAAAACTGACCCCAAAACCCCAAAACTGATCCAGAACAGGTGAGAGCCAAAAACCCCAAAACTGACCCCAAAAACCCCAAAACTGACCCCAAAACGGTCCCCAAAACTGACCCCGAACAGCTGAGAGCCCCAAAACCCCAAAACTGACCCCAAAAAACCCCAAAACTGACCCCAAAACTGACCCTGAACAGGTGAGAGCCCCAAAAACCCCAAAACTGACCCCAAAACTGACCCCGAACAGGTGAGAGCCCCAAAAAGCCCGAAACCTGCAAACAGACCGCAAAAAACCTCAAAATTTTGGGGTAAAAAAACCCAAAACAGGCGAGACCCCAAAAATAGGGACAAGTCCTGAGTTTGGGGTCAGTCCTGATTTTGGGGTGAATTTGGGATTTTTGGGGTGAATTCTGGGATTTTTGGGGTGAATTCCCGGGATTTTTGGGGTGAATTCCGGCGGTTTTGTGTCACTCTCAGTTTTGGGTTGAATTCCCGGATTTTTGGGGTGAATTTGGGATTTTTGGGGTGAATTCCGAGATTTTTGGGGTGAATTCCGGCGGTTTTGGGGTTGGTCCCAGTTTTGGGGTGAATTTGGGATTTTTGGGGTGAATTCTGGCATTTTTGGGTCCCAGATCCAGCTGTGCTCGGAGCTGCTGAGCCGCGCCCGGCGGTTTTGGGGTGAATTCCCGGTGATTTTTAGGGTGAATTCCCGGGATTTTTGGGGTGAATTCCGGCGGTTTTGGGTCCCTCTCAGTTTTGGGGTGATTTTGGGATTTTTGGGGTGAATTCTGGCATTTTTGGGTCCCAGATCCAGCTGTGCTCGGAGCTGCTGAGCCGCGCCCGGCGGTTTTGGGGTGAATTTGGGATTTTTGGGGTGAATTCCCGGGATTTTTGGGGTGAATTCCCGGATTTTTGGGGTGAATTCCGGCGGTTTTGGGTCAGTCTCAGTTTTGGGGTGAATTTGGGATTTTTGGGGTGAATTCTGGCATTTTTGGGTCCCAGATCCAGCTGTGCTCGGAGCTGCTGAGCCGCGCCCGGCGGTTTTGGGGTGAATTCCCGGTGATTTTTGGGGTGAATTCCCGGGATTTTTGGGGTGAATTCTGGCGGTTTTGGGTCACTCTCAGTTTTGGGGTGAATTTGGGATTTTTGGGGTGAATTCCCGCATTTTTGGGGTGAATCCTGGTGGTTTTGGGTCACTCTCAGTTTTGGGGTGAATTTGGGATTTTTGGGGTGAATTCTGGCATTTTTGGTCCCAGATCCAGCTGTGCTCGGAGCTGCTGAGCCGCGCCCGCCGGCCGCTGCTGCTGCTCGGCAGTCAGACGCTGCTGCCCCCGACACCCACCGAGGAGCTGCGGTGGGAACCCGACAAACTGGGACGGACTGGGAGGGACTGGGGGGGGCTGGGAGGGACTGGGAGGGACTGGGAGGGACTGGGATCAAACTGGGAGGGACTGGGATGGACTGGAATCAAACTGGGAGGGACTGAGACAAACTGGGGCAGACTGGAAGGGACTGGGATGGACTGGGAGGAACTGGGATGGGATTGGGAGGGACTGGGGCAAACTGGGATCAAACTGGGATGGACTGGGAAGGACTGGAAGGAACTGGGATGGGGTTGGGGTGGACTGGAGCAAACTGGGACAAACTGGGAGGGACTGGGAGGGGATTGGGAGGGACTGGGATAGACTGGGAGGGACTGGGAGGGACTGGAATCAAACTGGGAGGGACTGGAATCAAACTGGGATGGACTGGGACAAACTGGGAAGGACTGGGAGGGACTGGGATGGAGCCATTTTTGGGACCAAACTGAGCCAGTTTTTGGGGCAAATCTGAACCAGTTTGGGATTTGGATTGAGCCATTTTTGGGACCAAACTGAGCCAGTTTTGGGACCAAATTGATCCAGTTTTGGGACCAAACTGAGCCAGTTTGGGATTTGGATTGAGCCAGTTTTGGGACGAAATTGAGCCAATTTGGGGTCTGGATTGAGCCAGTTTGGGGTCTGGATTGAGCCAGTTTTGGAACCAATCTGAGCCAGTTTGGGGTCTGGATTGAGCCAGTTTTGGAACCAATCTGAGCCAGTTTGGGGTCTGGATTGAGCCAGTTTTGGAACCAATCTGAGCCAGTTTGGGGTCTGGATTGAGCCAGTTTTGGAACCAATCTGAACCAGTTTAGGATTTGGATTGATCCACTTTTGGGGCCAAACTGAGCCATTTTTGGGGCCAAATTGCGCCAGTTTGGGGTCTGGATTGAGCCAGTTTTGGGGCCAATCTGAGCCAGTTTGGGATTTGGATTGAGCCATTTTTGGGACCAAACTGATCCAGTTTTGGGGCCAAATTGAGCCAGTTTTGGGGCCAAATGGAACCAGTTTGGGATTTGGATTGAGCCAGTTTCGGGACCAAACGGAGCCAGTTTTGGGGCCAAACTGAGCCAGTTTGGGGTCCCGAGGGTGCCACCGTCCCCGTTTGTCCCCAGCTCGGCGCTGCAGTCCCTGGGGGTCCCGTGTTACCTGGGGGGGGCGGCGCGGGGGCTGCTGCCCCCCGACTCTCCGCTGCTGTTCCGGCACAACCGGCGCCGGGCGCTGCGCGAGGCCGACCTGGTGCTGCTGGCAGGTACCGGTGTCCCCTGGTGTCCCCTGGTGTCCCCTGGTGTCCCGGTGGTGTCCCGGTGGTGTCCCGGTGATGTCCCCGGTGGTGTCCCAGTGATGTCCCCAGTGCTGTCCCCGGTGGTGTCCCGTAGCTGTCCCGGTGTCCTGGTGATGTCCCGGTGATGTCCCGGTGGTGTCCCGGTGATGTCCCAGTGATGTCCCCGGTGATGTCCTGGTGGTGTCCCGCTGCTGTCCCCGGTGATGTCCCGGTGATGTCCCGGTGATGTCCCCGGTGGTGTCCCGGTGGTGTCCCGGTGATGTCCCCGGTGATGTCCCGGTGATGTCCCGGTGGTGTCCTGGTGGTGTCCCGGTGATGTCCCGGTGATGTCCCGGTGCTGTCCCGCTGATCTCCCTGGTGATGTCCCGGTGGTGTCCCGGTGATGTCCCGGTGATGTCCCGGTGGTGTCCCCAATGTCCCGGTGATGTCCCCAGTGATGTCCCCGGTGGTGTCCCGGTGGTGTCCTGGTGATGTTCCCAGTGGTGTCCCGGTGGTGTCCCCGGTGATGTCCCGGTGGTGTCCCAGTGGTGTCCCCGGTGATGTCCCCGGTGCTGTCCCGGTGGTGTCCCCGGTGATGTCCCCGGTGATGTCCCTGTGATGCCCCGGTGATGTCCCGGTGATGTCCCTGATGGTGTCCCCGGTGATGTCCCGGTGGTGTCCCCGGTGGTGTCCCCAATGTCCCGGTGATGTCCCAGTGATGTCCCGGTGGTGTCCCAGTGATGTCCCCACTGGTGTCCCTGTGATGTCCCCATGATGTCCCCGATGGTGTCCCCAATGCCCCGGTGGTGTCCCGGTGATGTCCCCGGTGGTGTCCCGGTGATGTCCCGGTGGTGTCCCGGTGATGTCCCCAATGTCCCACTGATGTCCCCGGTGTCCCCGATGTCCCCATGTCCCCACTGACCCCCCCCGATGTCCCCTCCCCACCCAAAGGTGCCGTCTGTGATTTCCGCCTCTCCTACGGGCGCCTCTTCGGCCGCGGCGCCGCCGTGGTGGCCGTGAACCGGGACCGGGAGCAGCTGCTGAGGAACGCCGACGTCTTCTGGAAACCGCGGCTGGCCGTGCAGGGTGAGAGGCTGTGGGGGGAGAATAAACCGGTTTGGGGCGGAATGAACCGGTTTGGGGTCAGAATGAACCGGTTTGGGGTCAGAATGAACCGGTTTGGGGCGGAATTAACCGGTTTGGGGTCAGAATGAACCGGTTTGGGGTCGGTATGAGCCGGTTTTGGGGTCAGAATGAGGAAATTTGGGGTCAAACCACGACCCAACGTCTTCTGGAAACCGCGGGTGGCCGTGCAGGGTGAGCGGCTCTGGGGACACCAAAAACCGGTTTGGGGCGGAATTAACCGGTTTGGGGCAGGAATGAGCCGGTTTGGGGTCGGAATGAACCGGATTTGGGGTCAGAATGAGCCGGTTTGGGGACAAATGAACTGGTTTGGGGTGAGACTGAGCCGGTTTTTGGGGTCAAACCACGACCCGACGTCTTCTGGAAACCGCGGCTGCCGTGCAGGGTGAGCGGCTCTGGGGCGAATAAACCGGTTTGGGGCGGAATGAACCGGTTTGAGGTCGGTATGAACCGGTTTGGGGTTGGAAGGAACCGGTTTGGGGCGGAATGAACCGGTTTGGGGACAAATGAACCGGTTTGGGGTGAGACTGAGGCGGTTTTTGGGGTCAAACCACGACCCGACGTCTTCTGGAAACCGCGGCTGCCGTGCAGGGTGAGCGGCTCTGGGGCAAATCAACCGGTTTGGGGCGGAATGAACCGGTTTGGGGCCGGAATAAACCGGTTTGGGGTCGGTATGAACCGGTTTGGGGTTTGAATGAACCAGTTTGGGGTCGGAATGAGCCGGTTTGGGGTGAGACTGGCGTCTTCTGGAAACCGCGGCTGCCGTGCAGGGTGAGCGGCTCTGGGGCAGAATTAACCGGTTTTGGGCCGGTATGAGCCGGTTTGGGGTCGGAATGAACCAGTTTGGGGCGGAATAAACCGGTTTGGGGTCGGTATGAACCGGTTTGGGGTTGGAATTAACTGGTTTGGGCTCCCAGGTGACACTTTGTGGTTCCTGGTGACACTTTGGGTTCCCTGGTGACATTTTTGTGTCCCCAGGTGACATTTTGTGTCCCCAGGTGACACTTTGGTGTCCCCAGGTGACATTTTGTGTCCCCCAGGTGACATTTTGGGGTCCCTGGTGACATTTTGTGTCCCCCAGGTGACACTTTGGTGTCCCCAGGTGACATTTTGTGTCCCCCAGGTGACATTTTGGGGTCCCTGGTGACATTTTGTGTCCCCCAGGTGACATTTGTGTCCCCAGGTGACATTTTGGGATCCCCCGGGTGACATTTTTGTGTCCCCAGGTGACACTTTGAGCTCCTGGGTGACACCTTAGGGTCCCAGGTGACATTTTGGTGTCCCCAGGTGACATTTGTGTCCCCAGGTGACCCCGCGGCCCTGCTGGTGGCGCTGTCCCGGAGCCTCCCGGGGCTCGGCTGCCCCCGAGAGTGGCGGGAGAGGCTGAGAGAGGCGGAGACGGAGCGGGAGAGAGAAATCCGGTGAGGGACAGAGGGGACATCCCTGGGGACACTGGGGACATTGGGGACATTGGGGACATTGGGGACATTGGGGACATTGGGGACATTGGGGACATTGGGGACACTGGGGACATTGGGGACATTGGGGACATTGGGGGGGTTGGGGACATTGGGGGGGTTGGGGACATTGGGGACATTGGGGACATGGGGACATTGGGGACACTGAGGGGACATTGGGGACATCACTGGGGACATTGGGACATTGGGGGCATTTGGGGACATTGGGGACATTGGGGACATTGGGGACATTGGGGACATTGGGGACAGATCATTCCTCTTTTTTTGGGGATTTTTGGACTCATTCCCCTTTTTTTGGGGGAAATTTTTTGGCTCATTTCCCTTTTTTGGGGGGGCGATTTTTGAGGTAGTTTTTCTTTTTTGGGGAATTTTTGGGCTCATTCCCCTTTTTTTTGGGATTTCTGGGCTCATTCCCCTTTTTGGGGACGTTTTTGGGCTCAGACCCCTCCCATTTGGGATTTTTGGGCTTAGATCCCTTTTTTTGGGGATTTTTGGGATCACTCTTCTCTTTTTTTGGGGATTTTTGGCTCAGACCCCTTTTTGGGGAAATTTTTGGGCTCATTCCCCTTTTTTTGGGACTTTTTGGCTCAGATCACTTTTTGGGGGAATTTTTTGGGGTCATTCCCCCTTTTTTGGGGGTTTCTGGGCTCTGACCCCTTTTTTTTGCTATTTCTGGACTCATTCCCTTTTTTGGGGGGATTTTTGGGCTCAGACCCCTCCCATTTAGGATTTTTGGGTTCATTCCTCTTTTTTGGGGGATTTTTGGGCTCATTCCCCTTTTTTGGAGGAGATTTTTGGGCTCATTCCCCTTTTTGGGGAAATTTTTGGGGTCATTCCCTTTTTGGGGGATTTTTGGGCTCAGACCCCCCTCATTTGGTACTTTTGGATTCCTTCCCCTTTTCTGGGGTTTCTGGGCTCATTCCCTTTTATTTTATTTTATTTTATTTTATTTTATTTTATTTTATTTTATTTTATTTTATTTTTCCCCATTTTTTGGGGTTCCTGGACTCAGCCCCCCTGTCCCTGTCCCTGTCCCCATGTCCCTGTCCCTGTGTCCCTGTGTCCCTGTCCCCATCAGTGTCCCTGTCCCTGTCACCCCTGTCCCCCTGTCCCCATGTCCCTGTCCCTGTCCCATCCCTGTCCCTGTGTCACTGTCACTCTGTCCCTGTCCCTGTGTCCCTGTCACCCTGTCCCTGTCCCCGCAGGGCCATGGCTGCCGTGTCCCCTCAGTGTCACCTGAACCTGCTGTCCCTGCTGCTGGCCCTGTCCCTGTGTCACTGTCACCCCTGTCCCTGTGTCCCTGTCCCTGTGTCACTGTCCCTGTGTCACTGTCTGTGTCCCCGCAGGGCCATGGCCGCGGTGTCCCCTCAGTGTCACCTGAACCCGCTGTCCCTGCTGCTGGCCCTGTCCCCATGTCCCCATGTCCCTGTGTCACTGTCCCTGTGTCCCTGTGTCACTGTCCCTGTCCCTGTGTCCCTGTCCCTGTCCCTGCTGCTGTCCCTGTCCCTGTGTCCCTGTCCCTGTCCCTGTGTCACTGTCCCTGTCCCTGTCCCCGCAGGGCCATGGCCGCGGTGTCCCCCCCGTGTCACCTGAACCCGCTGTCCCTGCTGCTGTCCCTGTCCCTGTGTCACTGTCACTGTCCCTGTCCCCACAGGGCCATGGCCGCGGTGTCCCCTGGGTGTCACCTGAACCCGCTGTCCCTGCTGCTGGCCCTGTCCCCATGTCCCTGTGTCCCTGTCCCTGTGTCCCTGTGTCCCTGTGTCACTGTCCCTGTCACTGTCCCTGTGTCCCTGTCACCCCTGTCCCTGTGTCACTGTCCCTGTCCCTGTGTCACTGTCCCTGTCCCTGTCCCTGTCCCTGTGTCACTGTCTGTGTCCCTGTCCCTGTGTCACTGTCCCTGTCCCCGCAGGGCCATGGCCGCGGTGTCCCCCCCGTGTCACCTGAACCCGCTGTCCCTGCTGCTGGCACTGTCCCTGTCCCTGTGTCACTGTCCCTGTCCCCGCAGTGCCATGGCCGCGGTGTCCCCGCAGTGTCACCTGAACCCGCTGTCCCTGCTGCTGGCCCTGGACCGGCTCCTGTCCCCTCAGACTCTCCTGGTGGCCGATGGCGGTGACTTCGTGGCCACAGCGGCGTACAGCGTCCGGCCCCGGCAGCCGCGGGCATGGCTGGACCCCGGTACGGAGGGGACACGAGGGGACAGGGAGGGGACACGTGGGGACACGAGGGGACACGGCCACCCCGGCCAGGAGACACCTGGGGACATGTAGGGACATGTGGGGACACACGGGGACACGTGGGGACACGGCCACCACAGCCAGGAGACACGTGGGGACAGGGTGGGGACAGCTTGGGGACACCTGGGGACACACAGGGACACATGGGGACAGCATGGAGACATGTGGGCACACGTAGGGACACGGCCACCCCGGCCAGGGGACACCTGGGGACAGTGAGGGGACACACAGGGACAGTGTGGGGACACACGGGGACAGCGAGGGGACACCTGGGGACACGGCCAGGGGACACCTGGGGACAGGGAGGGGACAGCGAGGGGACACCTGGGGACATGGGCACCACAGCCAGGGGACACGAGGGGACAGTGAGGGGACACCTGGGGACACATGGGGACACAGCCAGGGGACAGCTGGGGACACACGGGGACAGCAAGGGGACATGGCCAGGGGACAGCTGGGGACAGCGAGGGGACACAGGGACACACGGGGACAGCTGGGGACACGCAGGGACACCTGGGGACACACGGGGACAGAGAGGGGACACACGGGGACAGTGAGGGGACAGCTGGGGACATGGCCACCACAGCCAGGGGACACCTGGGGACACGGCCAGGGGACAGCTGGGGACAGCGAGGGGACACCTGGGGACACAACCAGGGGACAGCGAGGGGACACCTGGGGACACGTGGGGACACATGGGGACATGGGAACCACAGCCAGGGGACACGCAGGGAGAGCTTGGGGACATGTGGGGACACACGGGGACAGCGAGGGGACAGCTGGGGACATGCAGGGACAGCGAGGGGACACAGCCAGGGGACACCTGGGGACAGTGAGGGGACACACGGGGACAGCTGGGGACACGGCCAGAGGACAGCTGGGGACACGTGGGCACACATGGGGACACAGCCAGGGGACGCCTGGGGACATGTGGGGACATGGCCACCACAGCCAGGAGACACATGGGGACAGGGTGGGGACACCTGGGGACACACTGGGACAGTGAGGGGACACCTGGGGACACATAGGGACACGTAGGGACACAGCCAGGGGACAGCTGGGGACACACAGGGACAGCGAGGGGACACCTGGGGATATGGGCACCACAGCCAGGGGAAACACAGGGACAGCTTGGGGACACATGGGGACACCTGGAGACACCTGGAGACACGTGGGGACATGGCCCGGGGACACCTGGGGACACGTGGGGACAGCGAGGGGACACCTGGGGACACATGGGGACACATGGGGACATGTGGGCACACGTGGGGACACGGCCACCACAGCCAGGAGACACCTGGGGACACGTGGGGACAGGGTGGGGACAGCTGGGGACAGCTTGGGGACACCTGGAGACAGCGAGGGGACAGCTGGGGACACAGCCAGGGGACAGCTGGGGACAGTGAGGGGACACACGAGAACAGAGAGGGGACAGTGAGGGGACACCTGGGGACACCTGGAGACACATGGGGACACGGCCAGGGGACACCTGGGGACACATGGGGACACCTGGGGACATGGCCACCCCGGCCAGGGGACACACAGGGCACCTGGGAACACGTGGGGACAGTGAAGGGACACCTGGGGACATGGTCACCCCGGCCAGGGGACACCTGGGGACAGCGAGGGGACACGTGGGGACACGGCCACGCCAGCCAGGAGACACCTGGAGACACGTGGGGACACCTGGAGACAGCTTGGGGACACATGGGGACAATTTGGGGACATGGCCACCCCGGCCATGGGACACCTGGGGACAGTGAGGCGACATGTGGGGACAGATGGGGACACACGGGGACAGCTGGGGACACCTGGAGACAGCTTGGGGACATGTGGGGACAGTGAGGGAACACCTGGGGACACACGGGGACACATGGGGACACATGGGCACAGCATGGGGACGTGGGCACACATGGGGACATGGCCACCACAGCCAGGAGACACATGGGGACAGGGTGGGGACACCTGGGGACAGCTTGGGGACATGTGGGGACACATAGGGACACATGGGGACACAGCCACCCCGGCCAGGGAACACCTGGGGACAGGGTGGAGACACAGCCAGACCCCAAAGGGACACACAGGGACAGTTTGGGGACACGGCCACCCCAGCCAGGGGACACGTGGGGACAGTGAGGGGACATGTGGGGACAGTTTGGGGACACGTGGGGACAGCTTGGGGACACGGCCAGACCTCGTGGGGACATGGCAGCGATGTCCCTGCTGTCCCCGGTGGCTGTGGCAGTGATGTCCCCTTGTGTCCCCGCTGGGGAGTCCCTTCTGTCCTTGCCATGGTGGCACTGATGTCCCCATGTCCCCAATGTCCCCAATGTTCCCCCAACGTCCCCGATGTCCCCAATGTCCCCAATGTCCCCGTGTCCCCTGATGTCCCCAATGTCCCCAACATCCCCAATGTCCCCAATGTCCCCAATCCCCCCAATGTCCCCAATGTCCTCAATGTCCCCACAGGTCCCTTTGGCACTCTGGGCGTGGGCGGAGGATTCGCGCTCGGGGCCAAACTCTGCCGGCCCGAGGCTGAGGTGACACCGGGAGGACAGTGGGGGGGACAGTGGGGACATTGGGGAAACTGGGGAAATGGGGACATTGGGGGGACATTGGTGGGACAATGGGGACAGTGGGGGGACATTGGGGACAATGAGGGCATTGGGAATATGGGGACACTGGGGACGTTGGGGGACATTTGGGACAATGGGGGGATGGGGACATTGGGGACACTGGGGAGACATCGGTGGGACATGGTGGGGGGCCATGGGGACATCAGGGCCATGGGAACATCGGGGACATGGGGGACATTGAGGGGGCTGGAGCGTCCCCAGGGCCACCCACAGGTGGCACCGGGGTGATAGTCTGGTGGCACTCTGGTGGCACTCTGGTGGAACCGGGTGACACTCTGGTGGCACTCTGGTGGCACTCTGGTGACACTCTGGTAACACTCTGGTGACACTGGGGTGACACTCTGGTGACACTGGGTGACACTGGGTGACACTGGGTGACACTGGGGTGACACCGGGTCTGTCCCAGGTGTGGATCCTGTACGGGGACGGTTCCCTCGGCTTCAGCCTGATGGAGTTCGACACCTTCGTGCGCCACAAGGTCACTGCCACTGTCACTGTCACCTGTGTCACTGTCACCTGGCACTGTCACTGTCACCTGTCACTGTGTCACTGTCACTGTGTCACTGTCACTGTCACTGTGTCACTGTCACCTGTCATTGTCACTGTGTCACTGCCACTGTCATTGTCACTGTCACTGTCACCTGGGACTGTCATTGTCACCTGTCCATGTCACCTGTCACTGTCACTGTGTCACTGTCCCTGTCATTGTCACTGTCTCCTGTCAGTGTCACCTGGCACTGTCACTATCACTGTGTCATTTTCACTGCCACTGTCATTGTCATTGTCACCTGTTACTGTCACTATGTCACTGTCACTGTCAGTGTCATTGTCACCTGTCACTGCCACTGTCACCTGTCACTGTCACTGTGTCACTGCCACTGTCACTGTCACCTGGCATTGTCACTGTGTCATTGTCACTGTGTCACTGTCACTGTCACCTGCCACTGTCACCTGGCACTTCCACTGTCACCTGTAATTGTCACCTGGCACTGTCATTGTCATTGTCACCTGTCAGTGTCACCTGGCACTGTCATTGTGTCCCTGTCACTGTCACTGTCACTGTGTCACTGTCACTCTGTCCATGTGTCCCTGTGTCCATCTGTCCCTGTGTCACTCTGTCCCTGTCCCTCTGTCCCTGTCCCTGTCCCTCTGTCTGTCCCCCCAGGTCCCTATGTCACCGTGCCCCTGTGTCACTCTGTCTGTCCCAGTGTCACTGTCACTGTGTCCCTCTGTCACTCTGTCCCCCTGTCCCTGTGTCCCCCCAGGTCACTGTGTCACTGTCACTGTCCCTCTGTCCCTGTATCCCTGTGTCCCCTCAGGTCCCTGTGTCTGTCTGTCCCTGTGTCACTGTGTCACTGTGTCCCTGTCACTCTGTCCCTCTGTCTGTCCCCCCAGGTCCCTGTGTCCCTGTCCCTGTTTCACTGTCCCTGTGTCACTCTGTCACTGTGTCCCTCCGTCTGTCCGCAGGTCCCGGTGATCGCGCTGGTCGGGAACGACGCCGGTTGGACCCAAATCAGCCGCGAGCAGCTCCCCCTGCTGGGCAGCGCCGTGGGCTGCGGGCTGGCCTACAGCGGTGAGTGACCAACTGACCACTGAGTGACCAACTGACCACTGACCACTGAGTGACCACTGAGTGACCACTGACCCATCACTGACCCATCCCTGACCCACAGCCAGGGACAGCAGCTCCCCCTGCTGGGCAGCGCCGTGGGCTGCGGGCTGGCCTACAGCGGTGAGTGACCAACTGACCAACTGACCACTGACCACTGACCAACTGACCACTGAGTGACCACTGAGTGACCACTGAGTGACCCCTGAGTGACCACTGAGTGACCAACTGACCACTGACCAACTGACCAACTGACCACTGACCCATCCCTGACCCATCACTGACCCACAGCCAGGGACAGCAGCTCCCCCTGCTGGGCAGCGCCGTGGGCTGCGGGCTGGCCTACAGCGGTGAGTGACCAACTGACCAACTGACCACTGACCACTGACCAACTGACCACTGAGTGACCACTGAGTGACCACTGAGTGACCCCTGAGTGACCACTGAGTGACCAACTGACCAACTGACCAACTGACCACTGACCAACTGACCCATCCCTGACCCATCACTGACCCACAGCCAGGGACAGCAGCTCCCCCTGCTGGGCAGCGCCGTGGGCTGCGGGCTGGCCTACAGCGGTGAGTGACCAACTGACCACTGACCAACTGACCACTGAGTAACCACTGAGTGACCACTGACCACTGAGTGACCGCTGAGTGACCACTGAGTGACCAACTGACCACTGAGTAACCACTGAGTGACCACTGACCACTGAGTGACCGCTGAGTGACCACTGAGTGACCAACTGACCACTGAGTGACCACTGACCAGTGAGTGACCATTGAGTGACCACTGAGTGACCAACTGACCACTGAGTGACCAACTGACCACTGAGTGACCACTGAGTGACCACTGAGTGACCAACTGACCACTGAGTGACCACTGACCCCTGAGTGACCAGTGAGTGACCACTGAGTGACCAACTGACCACTGAGTGACCAATGAGTGACCACTGACCACTGAGTGACCAACTGACCACTGAGTGACCACTGAGTGACCACTGAGTGACCAACTGACCACTGAGTGACCACTGACCCCTGAGTGACCAGTGAGTGACCAATGAGTGACCACTGACCACTGAGTGACCAATGAGTGACCACTGACCCATCCCTGACCACTGAGTGACCCTGAGTGACCAACTGACCCCTGAGTGACCCCTGAGTGACCGCTGAGTGACCACTGAGTGACCACTGAGTGACCACCTCCCTGCCCCCATGGTGACAATGCCACCCATGAGGTGACAATGCCACCCATAGATGTGACAATGCCACCCATGAGGTGACAATGCCATCCATGAGGTGACAATGCCACCCCCCGGTGACAATGCCACCCGTGGAGGTGACAATGCCACCCATGAGGTGACAATGCCACCCATGAGGTGACAATGCCACCCGTGGTGACAATGCCACCCGTGTGTCCCCAGATTACCACGCGGTGGCGACGGCGTTGGGCGGCCGCGGCTTCGTCCTGGACAGCGCCGGGGACACCCGAGGGGACATTGGGGACATTGGGGACACCCGAGGGGACACCGGGGACAGCGAGGACAGGGTGGTGGCCGTGCTGAGGGCGGCCATGGCCGAGTGCCACCGCGGTCACCCCGTCCTGGTCAACGCCCTCCTGGGCCCGAGTGACTTCCGGCAGGGATCGGTGTCCGTGTGACACCGGGGACAGCGGGGGACACCCACCGAGGGACACCGGGGGACACCGGAGTGTCACCAAGGGTCACTGAGGGTCACCGAGGGTCAAAGAGGGTCACCAAATGTCACCAGAGTGTCGCAAAACGTCATTGAGTGTCATCGAGTGTCACTGAGTGTCCCCAAGGGTCACCAAAGACCCCCAAGGGTCACCAAATATCATTGAAGTGTCACCGAGGGTCCCCAAATGTCACCTGGGGCCACCAAGGGTCACCAGAGTGTCACCAAACGTCATGGAGTGTCACCAAATGCCATCAAGTGTCACCGAGTGTCATTGTGGGTCCCCAAGGGTCACCAAACATCATCGAGGGTCATCGAGTGTCCCCAAGGGTCACCAAGTGCCACCAAGCGTCATCGAGTGTCACTGAACGTCCCCAAGGGTCACAAAGGTCATCAAATGCCACCAGGCATCACCAGGTGTCATCGAGTGTCCCCAAATGTCACCTGGGGCCACCAAGGGACACCAAATGTCACCAGAGTGTCGCCAAATGTCATCGAGTGTCACTGAGTGTCATTGAGGATCGCCAAGGGGCACCGAGGGTCACTGAGGGTCCCCAAGGGTCACCAGAGTGTCACCAAGGGTCACCAAGTGCCATCAAGTGTCATTGAGGGTCACCAAGGGTCCCCAAGGGTCACTGAGGGCCACCAAGGGTCACCAAACATCATTGAGTGTCACTAAGGGTCACTGAGGGTCCCCAAATGTCACCTGGGGCCACCGAGGGTCACTGAGTGTCCACAAGGGTCACCAGAGTGTTGCCAAACATCATCGAGTGTCACCAAGTGTCATTGAGGGTCCCCAAGGGTCATTGAGGGTCACTGAGGGTCACCAAAGGTCATTGAGGGTCCCCAAGGGTCACCAAGGGTCATCAAGGGTGATCGAGTGTCACTGTCCCCGAGGTTCACCAAAAGTCCCGAAGTGTCCCCAAGTGTCACCAAATGCCATCGAGTGTCACCGAGGGTCACCAAGTGTCACCTGGGGCCACCAAATGCCACCAAATGTCACCAGAGTGTCGCCAAATGTCATTGAGTGTCACCGAGTGTCATTGAGGGGCACCAAGGGGCACCGAGGGTCACTGAGGGTCACCAAATGTCACCTGGGGCCACCAAGGGTCACTGAGTGTCCCCAAGGGTCATCGAGGGTCACCGAGTGTCACCAAGGGTCATTGAGGGTCCCCAAGGGTCACCAAGTGCCACCGAGGGTTGCCAAGTGTCATTGAGTGTCCCTGGACGCCCCCAAGGGTCACCAAAGACCCCCAAGGGTCACCAAGGGTCCCCAGGTGTCACCAAACGTCATCGAGTGTCACCAAGGGTCACCTGGGGCCACCAAGGGTCACCAAGAGTCATCGAGCGTCCCCAAGGGTCATCAAAGGTCATTGAAGGTCCCGAAAGGCCACCAAGGTCCACCAAAGGTCACCAAATGTCATTGTCACCGAGTGTCATCGAGTGTCCCCAAAGGTCATTGAGGGTCACCAAGGGCCACCAAGGGTCACCAAAGGTGATGGAGTGTCCCTGAATGTCCCCAAGGGTCACCAAATACCCCCAAGGGTCATCAAGGGTCACCAAGAGTCCCAAAGTGTCACCAAGGGTCACCAAATGTCATCGAGTGTCACTGAGTGTCATTGAGGGTCACCAAGGGTCACCAAGAGTCCCCAAACGTCACCTGGGGCCACCAAGGGTCACTGAGTGTCCCCAAGGGTCATTGAGGGTCCCCAAGGGTCAATGAGGGCCACCAAGTGTCACCCAACGTCATCGAGTATCCCCAAGGGTCACCAAAGGTCATTGAGGATCCCCAAGGGTCACTAAGTGTCCCCAAGGGTCACCAAGGGTCATTGAGGGTCCCCAAGGGTCACTGAGTGTCCCCAAGAGTCACTGAGGGCCGCCAAGGGTCACCAAATGCCATCGAGTGTCACCAAGTGTCACCTGGGGCCACCAAGGGTCACCAAGAGTCATCGAGCGTCCCCAAGGGTCAACAAAGGTCATCAAGTGTCCCCAAGTATCCCAAGAGCCACCAAATGTCCCCCAGGGTCCCCAAATCTCCCCAGGTGCCACCAGGTGTCCCCAAATGTCCCCAAGGGTCACTGAGTGTCCCAAAGTGTCCCCAAATGTCCCAAATTACCCCAAATGTCCCAAAGTGTCCCCAAATGTCCCAAATGTCCCCAAGGATCCTCATTTCCATTTTTCTCACAATTTTTGGGGTTATTTTTTCCTATTTTGGGGATTTTTTTTCTCCCATTTTTTGGGTTTTTTTCCCCATTTTTGGGATTTTTCCCCCCATTTTTTTGGGTTTTTTTTTTCCCATTTTTGGGATTTTTCTCACAATTTTGGGGGATTTTTTTCCCATTTTTGTGATTTCACCCCCAATTTTTACATTTTTCTCCCCATTTTTGGGGTATTTTTTTCCCATTTTTGGGATTTTCCCCAATTTTGGATTTTTTCTCCCCATTTTTGGTTTTTTTTTTTCCCATTTTTGGGATTTCCCCCCCCCCTTTTTTTCCCCCATTTTCTGGGCTTTTTCCCCATTTTTGGGATTTCAGCCCAAATTTTTACATTTTTCTTCCCATTTTTTTGATTTTTCTCCCTGTTTTTTTAGGTTTTTCCTATTTTTGGGATTTCCCCCCAATTTTTACATTTTTCTCACCAGTTTTGGGGGGTTTTTCCCATTTCTTAAATTTTCCCCCATTTTTTTACATTTCCCCCCCCATTTTTTAACAATTCCCCCCATTTTTTTTATATTTCCCCCCATTTTCATGATTTTTTCCCCCTTTTTTATTTTGATTTCCCCCCCAATTTTTACATTTTTCTCACCAGTTTTTGGGGGTTTTTTTTCCCCATTTTTGGGATTTTTCTCACAATTTTTACATTTTTCTCACAATTTTTTGGGTTTTTTTCCCATTTCTTAAATTTTCCCCCCATTTTTTAAATTTTCCCCCCATTTTTTTACATTTTCCCCCATTTTCTTACATTTCCCCCCCTTTTTTTTTACATTTTTCGTGATTTTTTCCCCTTTTTTATTTTGATTTCCCCCCCCCATTTCCCCCCAATTTTTATTCTTTTTTCTCATTTTCTGACCCATTTTTCCCCTTTTCTCTCCCCTCCCCCCGGAAGCGCCTCTTCGCCGCTTTTGGGTGAAAAAAACCCCAAAAAGGGGAACCGAAAATGCCGAAAATTCAAATTTCGCTGCTCGGGGGCGGCCAAAACCTCCGAATTTCACCTGAAAAATCCGAATTTCAGCCCAAAACCTCCGAATTTCAGCCCAAAAATCTGAACTCGGCGCCGGAACAGGTTCGGGGCAGGGGGGTGGGGAAATAAAGGGAAATTTGGGGTAAAAAAAGGGGATTTTGGGGGGATTAAAGGGAATTTTGGGGGGAAAAAAGGGAATTTTGGGGAAAAAAAGGGATTGTGGGGGGATTAAAGGGAATTTTGGGGAGGTTAAAGGGGATTTGGGGGGAAAAAAGGGGATTTTGGGGGAACAGAAAAAATTTGGGGTTGCAAAAGGAGATTTTGGGGTGAATAAATGAAATTTTGGGGTAAATAAATGAAAAATTGGGGTAAATTAATCAGATTTTGGGTTCCTTGAGGAGATTTTGGGGTAAATAAAGGGAATTTTGGAGTCTGGGGGGGAATTTTGGGGTCAAAAAAGAACATTTTGCGGTAAATAAATGAGATTTTGGGGTCTGGGGGGAGGAATTTTGGGGTCAAAAAAGGAAATTTTGGGGTCGGGGAAGAGATTTTGGGTCAATAAAGGAAATTTTGGGGTCCCTCAGGCGATTTTGGGGTAAATTAATCAGATTTTGGGGTCCTTTAGGAGATTTTGGGTAAATAAAGCAGATTTTGGGGTCCTTGAGAGAATTTTGGGATCACGGAAAAGATTTTGGGGTGACAGAAGAAATTTTGGGCTCCTTGAGGAGATTTTGGGGTCGGGGAAAAAAATTTGGGGTTAAAAAAGGAAATTTTGGGGTCACTGTGGAGATTTTGGGGTAACAGACAAAATTTTGGGGCAAATAAATCAGATTTTGGGGTCTGGGGGGAGAATTTTGAGGTCAAAAAAGGAAATTTTGAGGTAACAAAAAAAATTTTGGGGTGACAAAAGGAGATTTTGGGTCAATAAAGGAAATTTTGGCGTCTGAGGGGGAATTTTGGGGTAAATAAATGAAATTTTGGGGTCAGTTAAGGGAATTTTGGGGTCCTTGAGGAGATTTTTGGGGTCACAGGAAGAAATTTTGGGGTAAATAAATCAGATTTTGGGGTCTGGGGGGAGAATTTTGGGGTCAAAAAAGGAAATATTGGGGTAACAAAAAAATTTTGGGTGACAAAATGAGATTTTGGGTCAATAAAGGAAATTTTGGGGTAAATAAATCAGATTTTGGGGTCTGAAGGGGAATTTTGGGGTTGCAAAAGGAAATTTTGGGGTCGGGGAAGAGATTTTGGGGTCAATAAAGGAGATTTTTGGGTAAATAAATCAGATTTTGGGGTCCTTGAGGAGATTTTGGGGTCAATAAATCAGATTTTGGGGTCTGGGGGGAGAATTTTGAGGTCAAAAAAGGAAATTTTGGGGTCACTGAGGAGATTTTGGGGTAACAAACAAAAGTTTGGGGTGAATAAATGAGATTTTGGGGTCTGGGGGGAGGAATTTTGAGGTCAAAAAAGGAAATTTTGGGGTAACAGAAAAAATTTTGGGGTCCTTGAGGAGATTTTTGGGTCAATAAAGGAAATTTTGGGCTCTGAGGGGGAATTTTGGGGTCAAAAAAGGAAATTTTGGGGTCGGGGAAAAGATTTTGGGGTCCCTGAGGAGATTTTGGGGTAAATAAATGAAATTTTGGGGTCTGAGGGGGAGTTTTGGGGTCGAAAAAGGAAATTTTGGGGTCCCGGAAGGAGATTTTGGGACAATTAAGGGAATTTTGGGGTCCTTGAGAAGATTTTGGGGTAAATAAATAAAATTTTGGGGTCAATTAAGGGAATTTTGGGGTCCTTGAGGAGATTTTTGGGGTCACGGGAGGAGATTTTGGGGTAAATAAATTGGATTTTGGGGTCTGGGGGGAGAATTTTGGGGTCAAAAAAGGAAATTTTGGGGTCGGGGAAAAGATTTTGGGGTCCCTGAGGAGATTTTGGGGTAAATAAATGAAATTTTGGGGTCTGGGGGTGGAATTTTGGGGTCAAAAAAGGAAATTTTGGGGTCGGGGAAGAGATTTTGGGGTCAATAAAGGAAATTTTGGGGTCCTTGAGAAGATTTTGGGGTAAATAAATGAAATTTTGGGGTCGGGGGGAGGAATTTTGGGGTCAAAAAAGGAAATTTTGGGGTAACAAAAAAAATTTTGGGGTGACAAAAGGAGATTTTGGGTCAATAAAGGAAATGTTGGGGTCCGGGGGAGATTTTGGGGTAAATAAATGAAATTTTGGGGTCAATTAAGGGAATTTTGGGGTCCTTGAGGAGATTTTTGGGGTCACAGGAAGAAATTTTGGGGTAAATAAATCAGATTTTGGGGTCCTTGAGGAGATTTTGGGGCCCATAAAGGGAATTTTGGGGTCAATAAAGGAGATTTTGGGGCCCCGAGGGAATTTTGGGGGAACAGAAAAAAATTTGGGGTTGCAAAAGGAGATTTTGGGGTGAACAAATGAAATTTTGGGGTAAATAAATGAAAATTTGGGGTAAATTAATCAGATTTTGGGGTCCTTGAGGAGATTTTGGGGTAAATAAAGGGAATTTTGGAGTCTGGGGGGGAATTTTTGGGTCAAAAAAGGAAATCTTTGGGTCGGGGAAGAGATTTTGGGTCAATAAAGGAAATTTTGGGGTCCCTCAGGCGATTTTTGGGGTAAATTAATCAGATTTTGGGGTCCTTGAGGTGATTTTGGGTAAATAAAGCAGATTTTGGGGTCCTTGAGAGAATTTTGGGATCACGGAAAAGATTTTGGGATGACAGAAGAAATTTTGGGGTCCTTGAGGCGATTTTGGGGTCGGGGAAAAAAATTTGGGGTCAAAAAAGGAAATTTTGGGGTCACTGAGGAGATTTTGGGGTAACAGACAAAATTTTGGGGCAAATAAATGAGATTTTGGGGCCTGGGGGGAGGAATTTTGGGGTCAAAAAAGGAAATTTTGGGGTAACAGAAAAAAATTTGGGGTCCTTGAGGAGATTTTGGGTCAATAAAGGAAATTTTGGGGGTCAATAAATCAGATTTTGGGGTCTCAAGGAGAATTTTGGGGTCAAAAAAGGAAATTTCAGGGTCGGGGAAAAGATTTTGGGTCAATAAATCAGATTTTGGGGTCCGGGGAAAATTTTGGGGTAAATAGAGGGAATTTTGGGGTTCTTGAGGAGATTTTGGGGTCAATAAAGGAGATTTTGGGGTCCCTGAAAGAAAATTTTGGGGTAACAAAAAATTTTGGGGTCACCGAAGGAGATTTTGGGGTAAATAAATGAAATTTTGGGGTCGGGAAGGAAATTTTGGGTTCAAGAAAGGAGATCTTGGGGTTGAGGAGGGAAATTTTGGGGTCGCGTGGGGAATTTTGGGGTCCCTGAGGAGATTTTGGGGGTTTTGGGGGTCCCTGGGTTGATTTTTGGGCGTCCCTGATGAATTTTGGGGTTTTTGGGGGGTCCCTCAGGGATTTGGGGGGTCCCCACTGAATTTGGGGTTTTTGGGGGGTCCCTGAGGAATTTGGGGTCCCTGCTGAATTTGGGGGATCTCTGCTGAATTTTGGTGTTTTGCGGGTCCCTGGGTTGATTTTTTGGGGTCTCTGATGAATTTTGGGGTTTTTGGGGTCCCTGGGTTGATTTTGGGGTCCCTGATGAATTTTGGGGTTTCTGGGTTGATTTTTTGGGGGTCCCTGAGGAGTTTTGGGGGGTCCTTGATGAATTTTGGGGGTCCCCGCTGAATTTGGGAGGTCCCTGATGAATTTGGGGATTTTGAGGGGTCCCCGATGAATTTGGGGGGTCCTGAGGAATTTGGGGGGGTCCCTGATGAATTTTTTTGGGATTTTTTGGGTCCCTAAGAAGATTTTGGGGTTTTTGGGGGTCCCTGGGTTGATTTTGGGGGGTCCCTGAGGAGTTTTGGGGGGTCCCCGCTGAATTTGGGGGGTCCCTGATGAATTTTGGGGGGTCCCTGGGTTGATTTTCGGGGGGTCCCTCAGGAATTTTGGGGTCCCTCAGGAATTTGGGGGGTCCCCACTGAATTTGGGGTTTTTGGGGGGTCCCTGAGGAATTTTGGGGTTCCTGCTGAATTTGGGGGTTCCTGCTGAATTTTGGGGGGTCCTGAGGAATTTTTGGGGGGTCCCTGATAAATTTTGGGGTTTTTGGGGGATCCCTCAGGAATTGGGGGTCCCTGGGTTGATTTTTTGGGGTCCCTGATGAATTTGGAGGGTCCCTGCTGAATTTTGGGGTTTTTGGGGGGTCCCTCAGGATTTGGGGTTCGGCGCCGCCATGGCCCAGCCGGGGCCCTACGGGAACTGGATCGGCCCCGGGCGGCTCCAGCGGCAGCCGGGTGAGAAAAATTCCCATTTTTAGGAGGAAAAATCCCAAATTCTTCTTTTTTTGGGGGTGAATCCCGAATTTTGGGGAAAATTCCCCGAATTCCCCCTTTTTTTGGGGGGTAAATCCTAAATTTGGGGATTTTTGGGGGAAAAATTCCCCTTTTTTCCGGGTCAAAATTCCCATTTTTCCCGGGTTAAATCCCAAATTTTTATTGGAAAATCCCCCAAATTTTCCCTTTTTTGGGGGGTAAATCCCAAATTTGGGTTTTTTTTTGAAAAATCCCCCCAAATTCTCCTTTTTTCCGGGTTAAATCTGCCCTTTTCTGGGTTAAATTCCCATTTTTTCCGGGTTAAATCCCAAATTTGGGGGTTTTTTGGGAAAACTCTCCCAAATTTTCCTTTTGTTTGGGGAAGTAAATCCCAAATTTTGGGGTTTTTTTGGGAAAAATTCCCCAAATTCCCCCAAATTCCCATTTTTTCTGGGTTAAATCCCAAATTTCGGCTTTTTTGGGGATAAATCCCAAATTTCGGGATTTTTATGGGGGTAAATCCCAAATTTGGGGTTTTTTGGGAAAAATTCTCTTTTTTGGGGTTAAATTCCCATTTTTCCCGGGTTAAATCCCAAATTTCCACTTTTTTGGGGGGGTAAATCCCAAATTTGAGTAAAATCCCCCAAAATTCTCGTTTTTTGGGGGAGTAAAATCCCAAATTTGGGGGTTTTTGGGGGTTAAATCCCAAACTTTGGGATTTTTAAAGGAAAATTCCCCTTTTTTCTGGGTTAAATCCGCCTTTTTTGGGTTAAATTCCCATTTTTTCGGGGTAAATTCAAAATTTCTGATTTTTTTGGGTGTAAATCCCAAATTTTGGGGTTTTTTTTAGGAAAAATGCCCCAAATTCCCCCTTATTTGGGGCGTAAATCTCAAATTTGGGGTTTTTTTGGGGGGAAAATTCCCTAAATTCCCATTTTCCTGATTTAAATCCCCCAAATTCTCATTTTCTCCCCATTTTTCCCAATTTTTCCCCCATTTTATCCCGATTTTCCCCCCTTTTTTTCCTGTTTTATTCCCGTTTTTCCCCGATTTTCCCCCAATTTCCAACTCCCATTTTTTTCCTTCTTTCCCCCATTTTTTCCCAATTTTTCCCTGTTTTTTCCCGATTTATTTTGAATTTTCCCGATTTTTCCCCCTTTTCCCTTTCCCAGGAATTTACTCCGTGGCCGGGAGGATTTCCCCAGTGGGCGACTTCAGACCCGGTAAATTCCCTTTTTTCCCCCAAATTTCCCCCTTTTTCCCCAAATTTTCCCATTTTTTCCCAAATTTTGGGGCCGGATTCATCCATTGATTCCTTTGCCACCAGAATTGGGAATTTCTGCTCCAAATTCGGCTGCAAAATCCCCAAAAATCCAAATTTTTCCTCTTAAAATCCCCCAAAAATTCGAATTTTTTCCCCTTAAAAATCCTCCAAAATTAATTTTTCCCTTAAAATCCAAAATAATCAATTTTTTCCCCATCAAATACCCAAAAATCAATTTTTTTCCATAAAATCCAAAAATAACCAAATCTGTTTTGCCATTAAAATCCAAAAAAATGTTGATTTTTTTTTTACCTCTTAAAGTTCCCCAAAATTTGAATTTTTTACTTTAAAATCCCCCAAAAATCCAATTTGTTTTTCCCTTCAAATACCCCCCCAAAAATCGAAATTTTTATCTCTCAAAGTCCAAAAAAAATCGAGTTTTTCCCCTTAAAATCCCCAAAAAATTGAATTTTTTCCCTTAAAAAACAAAAAACAATCAATTTTTTTCCCTTTAAAAAAAAAATTCCCTTTTTCCCTTAAAATCCCCAAAAATCAAATTTATTTTCCCTTCATATCCCAAAAAAAAACCCGGAATTTTTACCTCTTAAAGTCCCCAACATTTTTTTCCTTAAAAATAAAAAAAAATTGAATTTTTCCCCTTAAAATCCCCCAAAAATCAAATATATTTTCCATTAAAATTCCCCCAAAATCGAATTTTTTACCTCTTAAAGTCCAAAACAAATTCGATTTTTTTCCCTTAAAATCCAAAAAAAATCCATTTTGTTTTTCCATTAAAATTCCCTAAAAATGGAATTTTTTTACCTCTTAAAGCCCCCAAAAATTTGAATTTTTCCCTTAAAATCCCCCAAAATTGAAAATTTTTTCCTTTAAAATCCATCAAAAAATCAAATTTGCTTTTCCATTTAAATTTCCCCGAAAAATTGAATTTTTTTACCCTTAAAATAAAAAACATTCTTTTTTACCTCTTAAAGTAAAAAAAAATTTGATTTTTTCCCTTAAAAGTCCCCAAAAAATCGAATTTTTTCCTTTAAAATCCCCCAAAAATCAAATTTGTTTTTCCCTTAAAATTCCCCCAAAAATGGAATTTTTTTTACCCTAAAATCCCCCCAAAATCGGATTTTTTCTCTTTTCCAGCCTCTCCCGACAGTTTCGAGGCCGATTACGACGACGTTTCCATGGCGGGATCCGAGCGGGGCCCCCCGGCCAAAGGTCCCCCAAAATTCCCAAAATTCCTCCCAAAAATTCCCCAAAAAATTCCCCCCAAATTCCCTAAAAATTCCCATAAAAATCCCCAAAAAAATCCCCCCAAAATTAAAAATATTCCCCCAAAATTAAAAAAAAAATTCCCGCAAAAATTCTCCAAAAATACCAAAAAAGTCCCCCAAAAAATTCCCTAAAAATACCCCAAAAAATCCAAAAAAAAATCCCCCCAAAAAATCCAGAATAATTCCCCCAAAAATCCCCCCAAAAATCCAAAATAATTCCAAAAAAAATCCCTAAAATTCCTCCAAAAAAATCCCAAAAAAATTCCCAAAAAAATCCCAAAAAATTCCCAAAAAATCCCCCCAAAATTAAAAAAAATCCCTAAAAATTTCCCCTAAAAATCCCTTAACTTTTCCCCTAAAATTCCCAAAAAGTACCCCAAAATTTCCCCAAAATTTCCCAAAAAATTCCCCAAAATTCCCTAAAAATTCCCCCCAAATTCCCAAAAATTCCCCAAAAAATCCCCTCAAAATCCCCCAAAATTCCCCAAAAATTCCCCCCAAATCCCCAAAATTACTAAAAAAATCCCCCAAAATTCCCCAAATTTCCCCCAAAATTCCCCAAAAATTCCTCCAAAAATCCCCAAAATCCAAAAAATACCCAACTTCCCACAAAATTGAAAAAAATCCCTAAAATTGTCAAAAATTACCCAAAAAATCCCCCAAAATTCCCCAAATTTCCCCCAAAATTCCCCAAAAATTCCTCCAAAAATCCCCCCAAAAAATCCCAAAAATTCCCCCCAAAATTCCAAATATTCCCCTAAAATTCCCCCAAAAAATCTCAAAACTAAAAAAAAATTTCCAAAAATTCTCAAAATTCCCAAAAATATCCCAAAAAATCCCCCAAAAATTCAAAAAAATTCCCCCAAAAATTGGGAATTCCCAGCGGAAATTTGGGAGTTCAGACAAAAAATTGGGAATTTTGACCCAAATTGGGAATTCCAATCCAAATTTGGGAATTCCCACCCAAAATTTGGCAACTCGGACCCAAAATTATGGAATTCTGACTGAAAATTTGGGAATTCTGAGCCCAAATTCGGGAATTTTGACCCCAAATTGGGAATTCCGATCCTAATCCAAAATCCCCAAAAATTCCAAAATTTCACTCAAAAATGCCCCAAAAATTCCCCCAAATTCCCCAAATTTCCCCAAAATTCACCCAAAACTTCTCCAAAATTCCCAAAAATTCCTAGAAATCTGCAAGATTTTCCAAAAATTCCCCAAAATTTCCCAGAAATTAAAAAAAATCCTCCAAAATTCCCAAAAAAATCCCAAAATGCCTCAAAAATTCCCCAAAAATCTCCCCTCAAAAATTCCTAGAAATCTGCAAGATTTTCCAAAAATTCCCCAAAATTTCCCAGAAATTAAAAAAATCCGCCAAAATTCAAAAAAAATCCCAAAATGCATCAAATTTCCCAAAAATCCATCCAAAATTCCCAAAAATCCCCCCCAAAATTCCCAAAATATCCCCTTAAAATCCCCCAAAATTTCCAAAAATCCCCATTTTCCCAAAAATCCCTTAAAAATCCCCTTAAAATCTCCCCAAATTCCGCAAAAAATCCCCAAATTTCCCAAAAATTCCTAAAAATTCCCTTTTTTCCCAAAAAATTCTCAAAAATTAAAAAAAAAATTCCCCAAAATCCCCAAAAAATTCCCAAAAATCCCAAAAAAATTCCCAAAAATCCCAAAAAAATTCCCCAAAAATTCAATTTTTTTGCTCCCCGCAGGCGTTTATCTCCTGGCGGGGCCTCCCCAGGAGGATCCCGAAGATTCCCAACGGAAATTTGGGAATTCCGAGCCCGAATCCGGGAATTCTGACCGGAAATCCGGGAATGGGGACCGGAAATCCGGGAACTCGGACCGGAAATCCGGGCAGCGGGACCGGAAGTGCGGGCCATGGGCAATGGCGGCCGCCATGGCGCTGCTGGGCCTGGCCTGGGGGGGGCTCCTGGCGGCGGCCGTGGGGAAACGTGAGCGGAGAGTTTGGGGGGAAAAAACGGGATTTTGGGAAAAAACGGGAATTGGGGGGAATTGCCATCGAAAATGGGAATTTTAGGGGGGGAATTCGGGAATTTTGGGGAAATTTCCATCAGAAATAGGAAATTTGGGGGGAAAACAGGGAATTTTGGGGTGGATTTGATGGAAAAATGGGGGTTTGGGTGGAATTTCATGGAAAAATGGGAATTTTGGAGGGAAAAATGGGAATTTTGGGGGGAAAAATGGGAATTTTGGGGGGGAAATGGGAATTTTGGAGAAAATTTTCCATCATAAATGGGAATTCTGGGAGGAATTCCATGGGGAAATGGGAATTTTGGGGGGAAAACCAGGAATTTGGGGAAAAACGGGATTTAGGGAAACGGGGATTTGGGGAAAAACGGGAATTTGGGGAAAAATGGGAATTGGGGGGGAATTGCCATCGAAAACGGGAATTTGGGGAGGAATTCCATGAGAAAATGGGAATTTTAGGGGGGGAATTCGGGAATTTTGGGGAAATTTCCATCAGAAATAGGAAATTTGGGGGGAAAACAGGGAATTTTGGGGTGGATTTGATGGAAAAATGGGGATTTGGGGTGGAATTTCATGGAAAAATGGGAATTTTGGAGGGAAAAATGGGAATTTTGGAGAAAATTTTCCATCCAAAATCGGAATTCTGGGAGGAATTCAATGGGGAAATGGGAATTTTGGGGGAAAAACCAGGAATTTGGGGAAAACCGATTTGGGGAAAACGGGATTTGGGGGGAAAACGGGAATTGGGGGAAAAAACGGGATTTGGGGAAAATGGGAATTTGGGGGAAATGGGATTTGGGGAAAAAATGGGAATTTGGGGGGGAATTGCCATCGAAAATGGGGATTTGGGGAGGAATTCTGGGGGGGAAATGGGAATTTTGGGGAAATTTCCATCAAAAATGGGAAATTTGGGGGGAAAATGGGGAATTTTGGGGTGGATTTGATGGGAAAATGGGAATTTTGGGTGGAATTACATGGAAAAATGGGGATTTTGGGGGGGAAATGGGAATTTGGGGGAAAAAAACAGGAATTTGGGGAAAACCGGGATTTGGGGAAAAAACGGGATTTGGGGAAAAACGGGAATTGGGGAAATCGGGAATTGGGGAAAAAACGGGGATTTGGGGAAAAACGGGAATTTGGGGGAATTTCCCCCAAAATTTCCCGAATTCCCAGAAATTCACAAACATTCCCCAAAATTCCCAAATCCCATCCCAAAAAAATCCCAAAACATTTTAAAAATTCCCAAATCCCCAGATCTCCAAATTCCCAAAAATTTTTTAAAAATCCAAAAATACCCAAAACTTCCCCAAAACCCAAAAAATGGGATTTGGGGAAAAACGGGATTGGGGGAAAACGGGATTTGGGGGAAAAACGGGAATTCAGGAAAACCGTGAATTTGGGGAAAACGGGGATTGGGGGGAAAATGGGATTTGGGGGGAATTGCCATCAAAAATGGGGATTTGGGGAGGAATTTGGGGAGGAAAATGGGAATTTTAGGGGGGAAATGGGAATTTTAGGGGGGAATTCGGGAATTTTAGGGAAGTTTCCATCAAAAATGGGAAATTTGGGGGGAAAACGGAATTTTGGGGTGGATTTGATGGAAAAATGGGGATTTTGGGTGGGGAAAATGGGAATTTTGGGGCAAATTGCCATCAAAAATGGGAATTTTTTGGGGGAAGTGGGAATTTTGGGGGAAAATGGGAATTTTGGAGAAAATTTTCCATCCAAAATGGGAATTCTGGAAGGAATTCCATGGGGAAATGGGAATTTTGGGGGAAAAACCAGGAATTTGGGGGAAACTGGGATTTGGGGGAAAAACGAGATTTGGGGGGGAATTGCCATCGAAAATGGGGATTTGGGGAGGAATTCCATGAGAAAATGGGAATTTTAGGGGGGGAATTCGGGAATTTTGGGGAAATTTCCATCAGAAATAGGAAATTTGGGGGGAAAACGAGGAATTTTGGGGTGGATTTGATGGAAAAATGGGGATTTTGGGGGAAAAATGGGAATTTTGGAGAAAATTTTCCATCAAAAATGGGATTTTTGGGAGGAATTCCATGGGAAAATGGGAACTTTTGGGAATTTGGGGGGGAAATGGGAATTTTGGGGAAATTTTTCCGTCAAAAATGGGGATTTTTGGGAGGAAAATGGGAGGTTTTGGGGAGAAAATGGGAATTTTTGGGAGGAATTCCAGGGAAAAGGGGGAAATTTGGGGGAAATTTCCATCAAAAAGGGGGATTTTGGGGGTAAAAGCGGGAATTTGGGGGTGGAATCCATGGGAAAATGGGAATTTTGGAGGGGAAATGGGAATTTTGGCAGAAATTTCCATCAAAAATGGGAATTTGGGGGAGAAAAATGGGAATTTTGTCGGGGGAAATGGGAATTCTGGGAAGAATTCAGTGAAAAACCGGGAATTTTGGGTGGAAAATTGGGAATTTTGGGAAGAATTCTATAGAAAAATGGGGATTTTGAGTGGAAAATGGGAATTTTGGGGTGTATTCCATGGGAAAATGGGAATTTTGGAGGGGAAATGGGAATTTTGGAGAAATTTTTCCATCAAAAATGGGGATTTTGGGGGGGAAATGGGAATTTTGGGATGGATTCCATGTGAAAATGGGAATTTTGGGGGGAAATGGGAATTTTTGGGGAAAATTGCCATCAAAAATGGGGATTTTGGGCTGGATTTCATGGGAAAAATGGGAATTTTAGGAGCAATTACATGGAAAAATGGGAATTTTGGGGAAATTGCCATCAAAAATGGGAATTCTGGGGGGGGAATTGGGAATTTTAGGGAGGAAAATTTGGGAATTTTGGGGAAATTTCCATCAAAAATGGGAAATCTGGGGGGGAAAATAGGGAATTTTGGGGAAATGGGAATTTTGGGAGGAATTCCATGGAAAATGGGAATTTTGGGTGGGAAACATGGGAATTTTGGAGGGAAAAATGGGAATTTTGGAGAAAATTTTCCATCAAAAATGGGAATTTTGGGAGGAATTCCATGGGGAAATGGGAACTTTTTGGGGAGGGGGATGGGAATATTGGGGAAAAAATTGGGAATTTTGGGGGTAAAAGATGGGAATTTTGTGGGAAATTTCCATTTAAAATGGGAATTTTGGGGGGAAAATGGGAATTTTGGGTGGAAAATGGGAATTTTGGGCAGAAGTCCATGAGAACTTGGGAATTTGGGTGAATTCCATGAAAATTTGGGGTTTTTGGCTGTTCCAGACCAGGCGCTGTGGGCGGAGCTGGAGCTGCTGAAATCGAATTTTTCGGCTGTTCTGGATTCCCGTAAGTGGCAAAAATTCCCAAATTCCCAAAAATTCCCAAACATTTCCAAAATTTTCCAAAAATTCCCATTCCACAAATTCCCCAAAGTCCCCCAAAATTCCCCAAATTGCCAAATTCCCAAACATTTAAAAAAATTCCCAAAAATTCCCAAGTTTCCGACAATTAAAAAAAATTCCAAAAATTCAAAAAAAATCCACAAAATTCCCCCAAATCCCAAAAATCCCAAAAAATTTTAAAAATCCACAAAATAAAAAAATTCAAAAAAATTCCAAAAAATCCACAAAATCCCAAAATTCCCAAAAATAAAAAAATCATCCAAAATCCCCCAAAATTCCAAAAATTTCCCAAATTCCCAGAAATTCACAAACATTTCCCAAAATTCCCAAAATCCCCAAATCCCAAAAAAATCCCAAAAATTCCCAAAAATCCCCCAAAATTCCCAAATTTCTAAATTCTTAAAAATTCCCAAAACTCAAAAAAATCCCCCAAAATTCCCAAAATTTCCCAATTTTGGCTTTTCCGGCTCCGGTTTGGGGGGGATTGGACTGGGAAGGACTGGGACAAACTGGGACAAACTGGTTTATACTGATTTAAACTGGTTTATACTGGTCCATACTGGTTTTTTTATGGTTTTTACTGGTCCATACTGGTTGTACTGGTTTATACTGATTTATACTGTTTTTTACTGGCTTTTATTGGTCCAAATTGGTTTTTGGCTGGTTTTTACTGGTTTCTACTGGTCCAAACTGTTTTTTTCCGGTTCCCAGTGCAGCAGGAGCAGACCCGGCTCCATTTCGGGATCCGGCAGCACCAACTGGAGCAGGAGGAGCAGGCCGGTAATTCCTGAATTCCCAAAATTCCTGAATTCCCAAAATTCCTGAATTCCCAAAATTCCCGAAAATATCCCCAAAATCCCCCCAAAATTCCCAAAAATTCCCCAGAAAAATTCCCAAAAAATCCCCCAAATTCCCCCCAAAATTTCTAAAATTCTCCAATTCCCAAAAAATTCTCCAGAATTCCCAAAAAAATTTCCTCCAAAAAATCCCCAAGAATTCCCCCCAAAATTTCCTCCAAAATTCCCCAAATTTCCCAAAAATTCCCCTCCAAAAATTTCCTCCAAAATTCCAAAAAATTCCTCCCAAAAATTCCAAATTCCCAAAATTCCCAAATTCCCAAAATTCCCGAATTCCCCCAGGAAATATCCAAAATTTCCAAAAAAATTCCCAAAAAAATCCAGAAAATTCCCCAAGAAATTCCCTCCAAAAACTCAAAAAAAATCCCAAAAATCCCTAAAATTTCCCTCAAAAATCCTAAAAATTAAAAAAATAAATCCCCCCAAAATCTCGAAAAATCCCCTAAAAAATTCCCCAATTTTCCCCCCAAAATTTCCTCCAAAATTTCCAAAAATTTCCCCCCAAAAATCCCAGAGATTCCACAAAATTCCCAAAATTCCCGAATTCCCCCCAAAAATATCCAAAATTCCCCCCAAGAAACGCCGGCTCCTGTTATTCCTTCTGCCGGCTTTTCCCGGGGATTTTGGGGGGATTTTTCCATGGAATTTTTCCCAGATTTTTGGGGATAATTTCCCTGGTTTTCCCAGGATATTTTCCCGGATTTTCCTGGGATAATTTCCAGGAATTTCCCAGGATATTCCCCTGGTTTTCCCAGATTTCTCCAGATATTTTCCCAGATTTCCCAGAATCATTTCCCCCTTTCCCGGGGATTTTTCCATGGAATTTTTTTGGGGATTTTTTTGGGATATTTTTCCAAGTTTTCCCGTGTTTTTCCCAGATTTGCTGTGCCGGGCCCTGGGCAATTCCCAGCACTGCAGGGCCATTTCCTGGGTTTATTCCAGGATCATTTCCCCATTTCCCGGGCATTTTTCCATGGGATTTTTCGGGGATTTTTTGGGATAATTTCCCTGTTTTTCCCAGATTTGCTGTGCCGGGCCCTGGGCAGCTCCCGGCGCTGCGGGGCCGTTTCCTGGGTTTATTCCAGGATCAGTTCCCCAATTCCCGGGGATTTTTCCATGGGATTTTTTGGGGATTTTTCCATGGAGTTTTTCCCGGATTTTTTGGGCTCATTCCCTGTTTTCCCAGATTTGCTGTGCCGGGCCCTGGGCAGCTCCCGGCGCTGCGGGCCGGGCTGGCGCTCCCACGCCGGCTCCTGTTATTCCTTCTGCCGGCTTTTCCCGGGGATTTTTCCATGGAATTTTTCGGGGATTTTTCCATGGAATTTTTCCCGGATTTTTTGGGATAATTCCGTGTTTTTCCCAGATTTGCTGTGCCGGGCCCTGGGCAGCTCCCGGCGCTGCGGGGCCGTTTCCTGGGGTTTATTCCAGGATCATTTCCCCATTTCCCGGGGATTTTTCCATGGAATTTTTTGGGGATTTTTCCAGGGGATTTTTCCATGGAATTTTTCCGGGATTTTTTGGGATCATTCCCTGTTTTCCCAGATTTGCTGTGCCGGGCCCTGGGCAGCTCCCGGCGCTGCGGGGCCGTTTCCCGGGGTTTATTCCAGGATCATTTCCCCAATTCCCGGGGATTTTTTCCATGGAATTTTTTTGGGATTTTTTAGGGATATTTTTCCAGGTTTTCCGTGTTTTTCCCAGATTTGCTGTGCCGGGCCCTGGGCAGCTCCCGGCGCTGCGGGCCGGGCTGGCGCTCCCACGCCGGCTCCTGTTATTCCTTCTCGGGGCTGGCGCTGAGCTGGGGCCGCGCCCGCGCCGCCTGCGAGGACCTGGGGGCGCAGCTGGCCGTGGTCAGCGACGAGGCCGAGCAGGTGGGGGATCCCCATCCCAAAAACCCCAAATCCCGAATCCAAAAAAATCCTAAATCCCAAGTCCATCCCTGATCCCAAATCCTGAATCCACCCCGATCCCAAAAACCCCAAATCCATGCCCATCCCAAATCCTGAATCCCGAATCCATCCCGGTCCCAAAAACCCCAAATCCCGAATCCATCCCGGTCCCAAAATTCCCAAATCCCAAATCCTAAAAAAACCCTAAATCCCGAATCCATCCCGATCCCAAAAACCCCAAATCCGCGATCCCGAAAACCCCAAATCCCAAATCCATCCCCATCCCAAAATTCCCAAATCCCCAATCCCAAAAAATCCCAAATCCCCAATCCCAAAAAATCCTAAATCCCGAATCCATCCCCATCCCAAAATTCCCAAATCCCCAATCCCAAAAAACCCCAAATCCCCAATCCCAAAAAATCCTAAATCCCGAATCCATCCCGGTCCCAAAAACCCCAAATCCCAAATCCATCCCAGTCCCAAAAACACCAAATCCCCAATCCCAAAAAATCCTAAATCCCAAATCCATCCCCGATCCCAAATACCAAATCCATCCCGCTCCCAAAAAACCCCAAATCCCCAATCCTAAAAAACCCCAAATCCCAAATCCATCCCGATCCCAAAAAACCCTAAATCTCAAATCCCAAATCCTAAAAAATCCCAAATCCAAATCCATCCCCATCCCAAATCCTAAAAAATCCTAAATTCCAAATCCTAAAAAATCCTAAATCCCAAATCCATCCCCATCCCAAATCCCAAATCCATCCCGGTCCCAAAAAACCCAAATCCCCAATCCTAAAAAATCCCAAATCCGTCCCCGATCCCAAAAACCCCAAATCCATCCCGGTCCCAAATGCCAAATCCATCCCCATCCCAGAAAATCCCAAATCCCAAAAAACCCCAAATCTCAAATTCATCCGGATCCCAAAAACCCCAAATCCCCAATCCTAAAAAATCCCAAATCCATTCCCATCCCAAATCCCAAATCCATCCCCATCCCAAAAAACCCCAAATCCCCAAACCCCAAATTTTGAGATATTTGGAGGGTTTTTTTGGGTTTTTTAAGGGATTTTTGGGGGGATTTTTGGGGTACTTTTAGGGGATTTTTGGGGTATTTTGGGGGTGTTTTTAGGGGATTTTTGGGGTATTTTGGGGGTATTTTTGGGGTATTTTGGGGGTGTTTTTTGGGGTGTTTTTAGGGGTTTTTTTGGGTTTTTTGCAGCTTTTCCTGGTGCAGAACAGCAACCGCAGCAGCTCCTACTGGCTGGGGGTGACGGACGCGGAGCAGGAGGGGAAATGGCGCTGGGTCAACGGCGAGGAGCCGCAGATCGGGTAAAAAACCACCAATTTTGGGCAAAAAAAATCACAATTCTGAAAAAAAAATCATCATTTTAGGCAAAAAAAAAATTGCATTTTTAGGGAAAAAAAATCAGAATTTTGGGGGAAAAAATCTCATTTTTTGTAAGAAAAATTCATAATTTTGGGCAAAAAATATCTCATTTTTGGGGAAAAAAAATCGCAATTTTGGTAAAAAATCAGGATTTTGGGGAAAATAATCTCACTTTTTGTAAAAAAAGTTGCAATTTTGGGGGAAAAATACGATTTTTGGCTGGGGGTGAGGGAGGCAGAGCAGGAGGGGAAATGGTGCTGGGGCAGAGCGGGGAAAAAATCCAATTTTGGGGAAAAAAAATCCCAATTTTGGGAAAAAAATCAGAATTATTTTTTAAAATCACAATTTAGGGAAAAAATCATATTTTTTGGGGAAAAAATCAGAATTTTTGGGGAAAAAAGTCTGAATTTTGGGGAAAAAAATCTCATTTTTTGTAAGAAAAAAATTAATAAAACCAAGATAAGACTGAATTAAATATGGATAAAAATCCATTAAAAATCAATTTTAAAAATTCTAAAATTACTAAAAATTACCAAAAAATGACAAAAAATTACCAAAAATATTTTTTAAATTACTAAAAATTAATGAAAATTAAATTCAGATCAATTTGCATAATAAAAATTAACGAAATTTAATAAAAGCCAACAAAAAAATCCAGTTTTTTTCCTTAAAAAAATGACATTTTTTCCTTGAAAAATGCCATTTTCCGCCCATTTTCGCCGTTTAAATCAGGGTTTTTTGTGTTATTTTCGTTGCTAATTTTTATTTTTACATTTTCCTGGTTTCTTTGCCCGGAATAATTGGAATTTTGGGGATTTTTTCCAGGTTTTGGGACGTGTGGCTGCAGGAGGAGCAGCAGGAGCTGAAGGATTGCGGCGCCCTGGGGCCCAAAGGGCGCTGGGTGAGCGCGGCCTGTGCGGAGCCGCTGCGCTGGGTCTGCGAGAGGCCCGGACACTGCTGAAATTCCCTTTTTTTCACCCAAAAATTCCCCCCAAAATGAAAAAAAAACTCCCTAAAAATCCCTCAAAAATTCCGCAAAAAACCCGGCAAAAATCCCCCAAAAATCCCTCAAAAAATACTGTTTTTATTAAAGAATTTGTGCCAAAAAATCTGAATTTTTTTTAAGGATTTGTGTCAAAAATCCCGCAAAAAATGCCGATTTTATTCAGGGTTTTTTATTGCTAAAAAATCCAATTTTTAAAAGGATTTTCAGCCAAAAATCCCCAAAAAATCCCCAAGAAATCCCCCCAAAAATCCCCCCCAAAAAATCACAAAAATATCCCTTAAAAAATCCCCAAAAATTACCAAAAAATACCAAATAAACTCAAAAAAAATCCACAAAAATCCAAAAAACATCCCAAAACATCCCCTAAAAATCCCCCAAAAATACCAAAACCCCAAAAAAAATCCCCCCAAAATCCCAAAAATACCCCAAAAATACCTCCAAAAAATCTAAAAATTACCTTAAAAAATCCCCCCCCAAAATACTAAAAAATCAAAAAAAAATCCCGAAAGAATCCCCAAAGATCCCCAAAAATCCCCAAAAAAATCACCAAAAAATCCCCAAAAAACTCAAAAAATCGCAAAAAAATCCCTCCAAAAATCAAAAAAAAATCCCCCCCAAAAAAATCCAAAAAAATCCCCAAATAATCCCTTAAAAAAAAATCACAAAAAAATTCCCAAAACTCAAAAAAATCCTAAAAAAAATCCCAAAAAATCCCCCAAAATCCCCCAAAAATTCCGATTTTTAAAGGGATTTTTTCCAAAAATCACAAATAACGCCAAAAACGTCCAAAAATCCCAAATCCTCCTAAATTAACCCCAAATCCACCCAAAAAATACAAATCGCTCCTCAAAAAATACCCAAAATATCTCAAATCATGCCAAGTCTTCTGAAAATGACCCCAAAAATGTCGAAAAACCCCAAATCCCTCCCCAAAAACCCCAAATCCACCCAAAATAACCCCAAAAATCCCTAAATCCACCCAAAATAACCCAAAAACCACCCAAAAGACCCCAAAAGATCCCAAAAATCCTCAAATCACTCCCAAAAAAACCCCAAATCAAGCCAAAATGACCCAAATCCACTCAAAATAACCCCAAATCCCCAAATCGAGCCCAAAACCCCCCCAAAATCCCCAAATCCTCCCCAAATCCACCCAAAATAACCCCAAATCCACCCAAAATAACCCCAAAAATCCCCAAATCAACCCAAAATAACCCAAAAACCACCCAAAAGACCCCAAAAGGTCCCAAAAATCCTCAAATCCCTCCCAAAAAAACCCAAATCAAGCCAAAATGACCCAAATCCTCCCCAAATAACCCCAAAACCGCCCCAAAAAATCCAAATCCCTCCCAAAAAAAACCACCAAGAGATCCCAAAAAACCCCAAATCCTCCCAAATTAACCCGAAAACAGCAGGAAACGTGAGGGGAAATGGCGGGAAACTGAGGAGAAAATGGCGGGAAACTGGGGGGGAAAAGGCGGGAAACGTGACGGAGAAAAGGGCGGGAAATGTGAGGAGGGAAAATGGCCGGAAAAGTGAGGGGAAAATGGCGGGAATTGTGAGGGGAAAGGGTGGGAAATGTGAGGGGAAAATGGCGGAAAACGTGAGGGGGGGAAAAGATGGGAAATTTGAGGGGGGAAAGGGTGGGAAACTGAGGAGAAAATGATGGGAAAAGTGAGGAGAAAATGGCGGGAAATGTGAGGAGAAAAGGGTGGGAAACGTGACAGGGAAAAGGGTGGGAAATGTGAGGAGAAAAGGGCGGGAAATGTGAGGGAGAAAATGGTGGAAAAAGTGAGGGGAAAGGGCGGGAAAAGTGAGGGGGAAATGGCAGAAAATGGGAGGGGGAAAATGGCGGGAAATGTGAGGGGGAAAAGGTGGAAAAAGTGAGGGGAAAGGACGGGAAATGTGAAGGGAAAATGGTGGGAAATGTGAGGGGGAAAGATGGGAAATATGAGGGGGAAAAGTGAGGGGAATGTGAGGGGGAAAATGGCGGGAAATGTGAGGAGAAAATGGCGGGAAGTGTGAGGGGAAAATGGTGGGAAATGTGAGGGGAAAGGGTGGGAAAAGTGAGGAGAAAATGGCAGAAATGGGAGGGGGAAATGGCGGGAAAAGTGAGGGGAAAATGGCGGGAAATGTGAGGGAAAATGGCGGGAAATGTGAGGGGAAAATGGCAGGAAATGTGAGGGGAAAAGGGCAGGAAATGTGAGGGGAAAGGGTGGGAAAATTGAGGAGAAAATGGCAGAAAATGGGAGGGGGAAATGGCAGGAAATGTCAGGGGAAAATGGTGGGAAATGTGAGGGGAAAGGGCGGGAAATGTGAGGGGAAAATGGCGGGAAATGCGAGGGAAAATGGCGGGAAATGTGAGGGGAAAAGGGTGGGAAACGTGAGGGGAAAGGGCGGGAAAACTGAGGGGAAAAGGCGGGAAATGTGAGGGGAAAAATGGCGGAAAATGTGAGGGGAAAATGGCGGGAAACATGAGGGGGAAAAGATGGGAAATATGAGGGGGGAAAGGGATGGAAATGTGAGGGGGAAAATGGCGGTAAATGTGAGGGGAAAAGGCGGGAAATTTGAGGGGGAAAGGGGTGGGAAACTGAGGAGAAAATGGTGGGAAAAGTGAGGGGGAAAAGGCGGGAAATGCGAGGAAAAATGGCGGGAAATGTGAGGAGAAAAGGGTGGGAAACGTGACAGGGAAAAGGGTGGGAAATGAGAAAAGGGCAGGAAATGTGAGGGGGGAAAGGGTGGGAAACTGAGGGGAAATGGTGGGAATTGCAAGGGAAAATGGCAGGAAATGTGAGGGGGAAATGACGAGAAATGTGAGGGGGAAACGGCGGGAAATCTGAGGGGAAAAGTGAGGGGAAAATGGTGGGAAATGTGAGGGGAAAGGGCGGGAAAAGTGAGGGGAAAAGGCGGGAAATGTGGGCGAAAATGGCGGGAAATCTGAGGGGAAAATGACAGGAAAAGTAAGGGGGAAAATGGCAGGAAACATGAGGGGGAAAATGGTGGGAAATGTCGGGAAAGGGCGGGAAAAGTGAGGAGAAAATGGCAGAAATGGGAGGGGGAAATGGTGGGAAAAGTGAGGGGAAAGGTTGGGAAAAGTGAGGGGAAAAGGCGGGAAATGTGAGGGGGAAAATGGCGGGAAATGCAAGGGAAAATGGCAGGAAACCTGAGGGAGAAATGGCGGGAAATGTGAGGATGAAAAGATGGGAAATATGAGGGGGAAAGGCGGGAAAAGTGGGGGGTAATGGCGGGAAACGTGAGACGGGAAAAGGTGGAAAAAGTGAGGGGAAAGGGCGGGAAATGTGAAGGGAAAATGGCAGGAAATCTGAGGGGGAACGTGACCCACAGGGGACATTGGGGACAGACCAAGGTGGCACCTGCGGCACTGTGACCCCCAGGGGACACTGGGGACACCGGGGACAGCCCGAGGTGGCACCGACAGCACCGTGACCTGAGGGGACACCGGGGACACCGGGGACAGCAGTGACACTGAGCCCGAGGTGGCACCAACAGCACCGTGACCCACTGGGGACACTGGGGACAGCCCGAGGTGGCACCGATGGCACCATGACCCACAGGGGACATTGGGGACATTGGGGACAGCCTGAGGTGGCAGGGACCCACAGGGGACATTGGTGACAGACAAGGGGACATTGGGACTCCTGTGGCATCCAGGGGACTTTCTGGGTCCCTGTGGCACTTTGGGGACAGCAGGGGACACTGAGGGACACCAAGGACACTGAGGGGACACCTGTGACACCCAGGGGACATGGAGGGACACCCAGGGGACACCAAGGGACATGTGTGACATCCAAGGGACACCCAGGTGACACTGAGGGACACCTGTCACACCTGAGGGACACCAAGGGGCACCCAGGGGACATCCAAGGGACACCCAGGGGACACTGAGGGACACCTGTCACACCTGAGGGACACCAAGGGGCACCCAGGGGACATCCAAGGGACACCCAGGGGACACAAGGGACAGGCCTGGCCTGGCTGATCCTGGACATGAAGAGATCCCGGGACGGGGATGGGGACGGGGACACACCTGGGACAGGGACAGGGACAGGGACACACCTGGGACAGGTATGGGGACACACCTGGGACTGGGACACACCTGGGACAGGGACAGGGACAGGGACACACCTGGGACTAGGACAGGGACACACCTGGGACTAGGACAGGGACACACCTGGGACAGGACAGGGACACACCTGGGACAGGGACAGGGAAACACCAGGGACAGGTATGGGGACACACCTGGGACAGGGACAGGGACACACCTGGGACAGGTATGGGGACACACCTGGGACAGGTATGGGGACACACCTGGGACAGGACAGGGACACACCTGGGACAGGGACAGGGACACACCTGGGACAGGGACAGGGACAGGGACAGGGACAGGGACAGGGACAGGGACAGGGACAGGGACAGGGACAGGGACACACCTGGGACAGGGACAGGGACACACCTGGGACAGGTATGGGGACACACCTGGGACAGGACAGGGACACACCTGGGACAGGACAGGGACACACCTGGGACTGGGACACACCTGAGACAGGGACAGGGACACACCTGGGACAGGTATGGGGACACACCTGGGACTGGGACACACCTGGGACAGGGACTGGGACACACCTGAGACAGGGACAGGGACACACCTGGGACAGGGACACACCTGGGACAGGGACAGGGACACACCTGGGACTGGGACACACCTGGGACAGGGACAGGGACACACCTGGGACAGGTATGGGGACACACCTGGGACAGGGACAGGGACACACCTGGGACAGGGACAGGGACACACCTGGGACAGGGACACACCTGGGACAGGACAGGGACACACCTGGGACAGGGACAGGGACACACCTGGGACAGGGATGGGGACACACCTGGGACAGGGATGGGGACACACCTGGGACAGGGATGGGGACAGCGCCGGATCCCGGCTGTGGATCCGGGCCCTGATTCCCTCCCGGGTGCTGTGGGACCAACAAGGACGTGACCGGATCCCCTGGACACCCCTGGGTGGATCCCAGAGACCCCAGCTGGATCCCGGACCCCCCTGGGTGGACCCCAGAACCCAAAATTGATCCCAACCCCCCAGATGGATCCCAGATCCCCCCCAAAGAGAGCCAGGA